CAGGCTTGGCATCTGAATGAGAGCAGATCTGAGACAGATGTACTACTGTAATACTATATCTTCTGGCATCAAAGACCCATCAGTGACAGATTTCCAGTCAAATATCACCCTTATACCACTAGGTGTCAGGGTCCAAACAGATTTGGACAAATTGAGGTGAGACATCCAATTTATGCTTTAAAGGAGAGGTGCACATTTTCCCACATTTTTCTTGCTCTAATCGTTCCTCCTGTTCATACTGGCCAGTAAAAACAATCCTCTATGTGCTTTTAGTGTTTGTGACATTTGACATAATCCACATTCCTCATTATGTTGTGTGAGGCTGTTAAGTTTAGTTGAAGCCAATGTGAGGCATCATTTGAGCTTTGGTAAACTTTAAGATTTAGACTGAGGATTTTGTCCCCCATCACTGACATTAGAAGCACATTATGAGGGGATCTCTATGAGCCCTTTACACCTACCTCTTTTGGTCCAGACTTTCTGACTTTTCAGTTTGATCTAAACCAAAATTACAGGTGTGAAGCCTTCCCCAGACTAAATTATTGGAGTGTCTTGCAGGCTATTGTCATGTTAAATGAGTATTGTAGTTGCTTTAAGGAATAACTCAGTCTGGACCTTTGTTCAGACTTTCAGATGTGATGCGGACAATATGAACAGGAGGAACGACTACAGCCAGTAAAAGCCGCTTCAGTGTAAATACAGGCTATAACTATTGTTTCAAGACAGACAAAAATTGAGAGTGTGTGCTTTAAATCAAAGTGTTCTTGCCTTCAGATGGTAGTTTGGATCTGCCTCATCTCTAAACTAATGAACAGGCACAGGTCAGCATTTGAACTTGTCTTAACGACACTAACATTAGGACATAGGTCAGCAAAGAGCAGTATTATGTGACATACAAACAGACAGCCTTAACATATTAGGGCTTTATTGACTTGTAATAGCTAGTGTGTTGGGTAACAGTTGCCTCAATCCACTAAAACCAAAACTATGAGCTACAAGAGGCTAAAAACCTGTGAGGAGTTGTGTTGTCCTGTTTTCTACAGGGTCATTAATATCCATGTGCTTTTCCCTTTAGGGAAAGAAGAACTTCTGTTCACCACCTGTGAAGGTTTCTGCAAAAAGCCTCCATGAGAAACTGGAAGACCTGGTACAGCCGATCAACTCGGTTCAATAATCTCAGTTATCAGTGGTGACCTGTGAAACTGTCTCTTCAGTTATCCTCATTTACATTCAGCGACGACAGATACTTTGTAATGTTCAGTGTGATCACTGTATGTTTCAAAGCACATTTGTCTGATTTCTTTTCAGTGTTTTCAAATGTAGCTGGTTGCTGCAGCATCACCATTCAGGAAGCTGTTCTCACAATTCATTAGACATCATTTGGAATAATACAGGACAATACTTTTACTGGATTTACATTCACTTTAAAAACAGAAGCCAGAAAAACTTCTCAAGACAGCTCTGACAGTAGTTACATGCAACTGATTTGCACCTCCTTGACATATAATTGACTTCCAGCCTTTAGTCGGTTGTTAAAATGGATTAGAATGAGATTAAACAATTGCTAAACAAACAAATAAATGAAAATTATAACTTGCGGTCCATTTACCAGCTTTTTCCTGGGGCTTTTTACCATAAGATTAAATGGGAGACATTGTGTCAAATCACTGTTTCCATGGTAATAACGAGAACTGTCTTCATATTTTAGTGTCATACATAGTTTGGAACTGAATTGGACATCTGTGTAGAATTCCTCAGGAAAGAAAAAGCATGAATAGTCAAAATGCTGGTGGCCCTTCAAGCCCAGCAGAGGTATCATATTTATGCCTCAAAAGCGAGACAAACAAAATAGTCTAAGCCATGGCTACACCTGAACACAGTCACATACTGAGTCAAATTAAATGAATAAATTAATACATGAATTATCTGCAGAAATAGGTACTAAAGAAACAACCAGATAGCATATCACAATTAATTCTGCTCACGAACATACATCATATCTTTGATCAACAATCAGTCACAAGTGGATGCACAGTATTTATTAATCACCACATACATCTGTCAGATCAGTCAGTAATTATTGAGACCCAAAAAAGAGTGAAATCTATCTCTTCCCAGTTCCACTATCTCTTAATGTGATGCGTGTTTAATATTTTGATGTATGGCAGCAGTGCTTTTGTGGATTACAACCCATTTGTTCATGACAATATTGATGCTGAAAATGAAAAATGATGTATGTTTGCAAATGTATTGTTTTACACCTATTTATTTTATTTATTATTAATTTATGATTGTGTTAAAGATACATGTCAACTGATTTAGCTAGTCATTATTATTTGTCTCCATGTGGGTGTGGAAAAACAACAGTTAAATGTATTATGATAAATTATTCCCATGTATGAAGACTGCACAGTAATGGACAAAGATCCATGTTATCAGATTGTTACCATCCCACCCAAGTGACCATGTCCTTGTTCATTCTCCTGGGCTCTCATGTAACCTTACTGTTGTTTCTTTTCTCATATTTTGTGAATCACTTTTTCAACTCTTATAGTGCCACTTCAATAAAACTGTTATTATCATTAATGCAGTTTGTCAGTTTGCTTCTTACCCAGCATTTATATGTTAAAGGAGACTTTTAAAGCCGATCACAAAATGCAGTGATTGACGTCACCATTTTGAGGGAGGGAAAAAAATCTGAGAAAACAATCCCGATCTAGCACAAAAAAGTTGTAAGTCTACTACTTGCAACTACTGAGCTATTTAACCTGGCCTGACCTGGCTGACATGCTTGCTTTGGTTGATGCCACAACTTTCCTTGGTTGTGTTGTGTTCAGAAAATGACCTCCAGGCTCCAGCTGCAGAACAATCATCATATTTATTCATACCAGCATGCATAAGGTTGAATAAATGTACATGTCCTCATTTTTCAACCAAAACTGAACACAAATTTTAGCATGACGAACACTTCCATGCCACAACGGTAAAAAAAACCATCTGCCCTTCCGGGGTCAAACTCCTAATGGCAACAATGTCCGTCCTACCTTTTATCACTAAGCTCAAAATACCAGCACAGTGCTACCCAATGTACACACATGGTAAACACAATTAATGCCTGGTAAGTGAAAGGACATATTTGGCTCTCACATTAAGTATATTCTTATGTATACATTTTTATGCAATAATTTATGATAATATTTGAATAATTATTATTCTGATGGTATACGTGTGTAGGTTGGGGGTAGATTTGTGATAATGTATCTCTTTCATAGTGTTTAAAAATTGTACACATTGGTATTTGACAATAAAATAAAAACTTGTGAGTTTGAGAGCAAATTCTGCACTGTGTGACAATACAAAAGGAACAAATCACACCAATTCTTTCAGCAATTTGCTTAATTACAGATAACTAGTCCATACCCATTGAGTACAGCATACCATACCATGACTTAGTCATACCAAAAATTAGAAAAAAAAACACCAACATTGGGCCACAGGGGAAGCCACAGCGATCGGTCGCATTTTAGCCATTTTTAAGCATTTTTCTGTTGTTATAGCGCCACCCAGTTGCCAATTAGAGTTAAATTTCTCCAGTCACCTTGAGGCGTCCTGTTCTACATATCTACCAAGTTTAGTAAAAATCAAAATGGTGGTTGGGCCTAGATAAGAAATTAGCTCTCTAGCGCCCCCATTTTGTTTGATGGGGTCAATAATGGAGGGGTCCCCTCAGATTATGTGTGGTCATATGCCTACAAAGTTGCGTGGTGATCGGTGAAACCCTTGAGATGTTATACACCTTTATGTGATGAGCCACGCCCTCCGCAATATTCATTGCCTTATAGAACCTCAGTTTTAGTAAGTTTTCCAACTTTTGCCAAGAGGGAACTTTAGATATTGGTCCCTAGATTATGTTCACCGAGTTTCATGCAGATCGGTCAAACTTCCTAGGAAGAGATTGATTTGAAGTGTTTTTCAAAAAATTCAAAATGGCGGAAAATCAATATAACCGGAAGTTATGGGTTCTTGAGGCAAATTTGTTCCTCATGAGGAGAGGCATCTCTGTGCAAAGTTTCATGTCTCTAGGACATATGGGGCATGAGATATGCCCATTCAAAGTTTGAAATTTCAATCGGTTGCTATAGCGCCCCCCTTTGGCCAATTGATGTAATATTGCTTCATTCCCATCCTCCATGACCCTCTACCACTGTGCCAAATTTCACATGGATTGATCAAGTCAGTGAGGAGAAAAACGTGGAACAGACACACAGACACTTGCACAGACAGAGTTTTCGTCATTATATAGTAAGATAAATGAGCAAACAGTGACTGGTACGGATCAGTTTTGCCATCTGGAAATCTGTGGTGTCTGTAGAGGTGTCGCTTGTTAGTTCTGGGGTTTAAAAGGATGTTATTATAGTTTTCACTAGAGTGCAAATAAAAATCCCTCCATGTGCTGTTGATACTGAAGACTTGCAACTGGGACTGCTCTAAGGAAAGGTGGTACATCAAAGGATGGATTCACGTTTTAAAGTCTATCTTAATATAATCCTCATATGCCCACAGTGAAACTGACACAAAGAGGAAATCTGGTATCCCAAAGTAACTTATTAACTTTTCAAACTGTAACTTCTGGAGAAACCCACTGTCACACTGTTGAGGCCTTGCTGAACCTTTTTTTACTTTGAAGAAGGACTGTATAAAATCCACAGTCCTCCTTGATGGCCAAAGGAAACAACTACAATGGACAAAAACTCTTTCAATATTCACATGGGCATGTAAGAATTGCTTTAGGAGACACATGAAAAAATGTGAACCAGCGCTGTGTTCTGTTGAAGGCGACATGGTGTCCCGTTTAATGATGTAGCCACTGCTGCCCCCTATAGGCTAGCACCACAGTGAGAGCGAGAAAGAGCGAGAGAGAGCGAGAGAGAGCGAGAGAGAGAGAGAGAGAGAGAGAGAGAGAGAGAGAGAGAGAGGAAAGAGAGGAAGAGTGTTGTAGACGTGCATGCAGTGTGTGAAAATATAGAGGAAGCAGCAGTCACGCAATATAATAACAGAGACATAACGGACACTATCAGCATCCAGCTATGCAGCCACCACCTAGAAAGGTAAGCTACAGTAGTCTTCATATTAATACAGTTAATGTGAGTTGTATTCATGTAGAGTGCTGACTGCTTACACAAACTTTGTGTCTCTACTACTTTCATTTCTGTCCCTCTTGTTCGACATCCTCTTAAGTTAATACATTTTCCACAATAAGACTTTGCAGAGCATAACAATGAGAATATTTATGCCACAATAAGTGCATTTTACTTAGTATATACTCCCAGAGAGAGACATATGTTTATGTGGTTAATATTATGACATTTTGTTTTGGATAGTGAATGCATTTCCTGTGAAAGCATCTGTCTGCAAGTATTGAAAACATATAATGGTCAATCGTGTGAATGCCAACATGTGCTAACTCTTCAAGGTATCTATTAAATGCTCTAAATAAATTAACAGTACATTAAATGTTGAGACTCACTCAGTACATATGTCATATGGTATTTGAGACCTTACAGACCATTGAGAAGTTATGTGTTGCACTCCAGTCAGAGTTGGCCTTAATATCCTTCTCTTAAGAGCAAATATTTTTTTCTGTTTATCCTGCAGTCCATAATTCATTTTACAATTTAAGATTGGAAACATTTGCCATTAAGCAGCAAAGTGCATGAAGTTGGTATTCCACTTGGCTGTGTTACTGGTGACCAATTTTAGTCAGGTAAGAAAGTTTCAACAAATCCATCAGCACTACAGATTTTCAAAAACCTTAAGTCTTCCTCTCTCATGCTCTACAGGACATAGTGAGCCTGCTAGCCAGTCAACTTGCTGCTAGCTAGTGATAAGAACTAGTCTGTAATGTAGCTAGGAAGTTAGGTAACTGTACATGTGAGGCCTTCATTTCTGTCTTAACATGCTAACATTTATGTAGTAATATGCCAGAATATCATCAGTTAGAAATGGCTGAAAGTTAACTTGCTGACAATTACATGACATCTGGCAAAATGGTGTGTTGACATTAGCATTCTCGAAGTTTATGTGTAGCCTGCCTAAAGAATGTTAGCATGTCCACAGTCATTAAAAAAATATCTTATTTACTTGTTCAGGACTAAATACTGTGCATTTAGTGACACGTCTGAAATAAAAAATGAGACACTGTCATTACTTAGCTTACCCTTCATAGAGGCACTGCCCAGCATTGTAAAAGTTCTGTCTTCATAGATGGGTGGTAAAACATTGTCTCTTGTAACAACTTCTCATCACTCTACAATTATGTTTTTACTAGCTTCCTGGATGGGTTGCCTGTTTTGTCACTTTTGCTGTAGGCTACGTGCTTTGAGTATTTGAGCTAAGCTGGGCACAGAAACTATCTCCGTAGTCTAGGATTAGTAGCCAGACCTATCTGATGTTGTGCCAACGCTGGAGAAGGGTCAGGCTGAACGCATCATAATTTTGCACTAAGGAATAAAACACTCTTGCTTATTTGTTTTTATTTCACAGTTGTCTTGGGCAGCACTGAGCCCAGGATGCTGTGACGGTGCTCTTGCAAAAATAGTAGCAGGAGGTCTGGCTTAGACTGGTTTCAAAGATTATATAGTATCAGAGCCCAGCCTCAGCCTTAAGTCCGCTCTCAAGACCACTTTTTGAAGTCTTGCATTTGTCTTGGTCTGATACTTTGTTGGACTCACTCACAATTGTCTTGGTCTTGGGCCATTTCAGTCGGCTCTGTCTGCACTCTCATCCACCGCCACTGTGTTTTGCACAAGCACAGCATGCTAGCTTGGCTAATAAGGAATTGTTACAAACACGTATTGTGGCAACAGGTCAAATCAGCGGCATCTATGTATATGTCAGTGGTCTAACTGACTGTGTTCTTCATTCTAAACTTTACTCGGTATTGTGATGTCAGCAATATAATTTATTTTATAGACATTTTAGATTTGTTTCCAGTATATAGATTATTCTGTCCATCCTTAATCACTATTGGAAAGACACTATTGCCTTTTATGATTTGAACAGAACTCAGATTTCTTTGAACTCTGTCTTGACTTGGTCTCGACTAAACCTGGTCTTGGACTTTATTGCCCTTATTTAAATTTGTCTCGACTACAGTCTTGCTGTCTGAGTGTGACTAATGGCAGGCTTTATATCCATCGTCTATGTCCTGTAAGGCAGACTGCTATTTCCATAGTAGACAGAGAGACACAGTGTTTTGTATGAAATTCTATCATTTATTTTCCTAACTACAGAACACTTATTGAGATTGACTGTGAAACCGTAAAACAGATTGGTGACTGGACAGCCAGTTCACTGTTGTGTTGATATAACCAAAGTTGCATTGAGTGATGCTCATATTAAACATTGTTTCAAATTATGGAGTAAATGTAACCCATGCAAACATAATCCTTCTGAGCAAAAATTTACGGCCTCAGACCTGTCTGAATAATCTGTTTCCAATGTTTTTCCCACTTTGAAGACAAGCTAATGTCAGCTTGTGATGAATTCCTTATACATGGTCATCCAGATAGTCACTACAAGTGTTAACAATATGTAGCCTACACTGCTACATGTAGCAACATGCTAACATCAGGGAAATACGAAATCTTGGTTGCTGATGTTGTTATCTTCTCCCACATTTCAAATCATATTTCTTCTGGAACATGTCCAGCTAATGTTGGTTTAAAAACTTTCATTTGTGATTTTTCATGGTAGAAAGTGCCACTATACTCAGACAAAGTCATTTGCTAGCTGCAAACACTGCTACATGTAGCTACATACTAATGTTAGGGAGACATGCAATCTTGGTTGCTGTTGTTGTTCATTTCTCCCTGATTGCAGTGTTCCAGCACCGACTGTATGACTGTGAAACAAAGCATTATAGAAACATTAAAGCATGCAAACATGTTCTAGTAGAAACCCAAAAGTATGAACCTGCAAATGAGCATACTAGGTCCCCCCTAGGGATGTAACGATTACCAATATTACGGTAAATTTCGGTTAATTTTTACACAGTAAGAATTACTGTTTATGTTTAAATTAATTGCATTATCGCAGTGGATTATCAGGATATGTAATAACAGCCTCATTCAAGTCTCGCGATGCAGGCGCTGTGTGAGTGCGTAGCATGTGTAAACACAAAGAATGAAAACATGGCAGAAGCGGCACTCAGGACATTTCCCCCCCTCCCCAACTAAACGCACAAAGTCTGAGGTCTGGTCATACTTTGGGTTTCTGAAGAACGCCCAGGGACAGCTGGTGGAGGACAACTATCCTGTGTGCAGAACATGCAGAAAGAAAGTTGCTGCGAAGGGTAGCAACACTACAAATCTACTGGCTCATCTCAGTGACCATCATCCACAGCTTTACAGCCAATGCAAGTTATTGTGTGAGGGACTTCGGTTTTACTAAGATTGTCATAATGTGTAACTCTCGACGTATACGAGACATTTGAGCCGTATCTGTCCTCCTAAATGGTGACTAGGTTTTCCGTTTTCATTTAAGACACTTAGGAGCTAATACTAGCTGATTAGCTAATAGCCGTATTAGCAGCTATGTTGCTAACGTTAAGTGTTTCAAAACGAAACGGAGCTGAAAACACTGAGCGGAGCCGACAGAATATAAACCGACGTAACGCTAATTGAGATCAACTATGATTGAATCACTATGATTATGGTTATTGTATGGCGAGCTAGAATCGATATAGACGGCCAGTTATGCTTTCTCGACATAAGCTCAAGGAAACAACATAAAACGCTGCCGTGTTAACCTTTGACTGAGAGCATGCACTCCTTTTCTCATACAGGTAATCCTCTGACTCACATGCACACTTCTAATGTGTGAATTATTCTGTGTAATGATGACCATTGCCCTTAGGGGTTTTTTGGTTTCTCCTGCACATTTGTGATATCTATTCTATATATTGTATGTCTTTTGTTCTACTCTTGCATTGCTCTGTTTTATATATATTTTTCCTCTCTTGCTAATAAATAAATAATTAATATAAAAATTGTTTACATATTTTGCTGACTGTTAAAATGCACCAGACAAATAAGCTTTGCTCCTGTAATGTGTTTACATATTTTCTTAATTTAAAATAACATTTTCTGTTGCTGTGCCAATCCCTTGCCCCTTTAATGTGAAAGTTGTATTTTAATATAAGATTTTGGCTGTTAACATTTTAGTATGATAAGGAAGTTACAAGATTTAGTGAAGTTATTTCAAGGTATCTATTTTTTGGACGTTTTACAGCGCTTAAAAAAATATTGCAATATTATCGTTTACCGTGATAATTTGGTCACTATAATTGAGATATCAAATTTTCCATATTGTTACATCCCTAGTCCCCCCACAGCAAAGACAGAGTTCATGCATCCAAAATTATACTTATGTAAAAGTACATCAGTTTGACTATCAAAATATACTTAAAATACCAAATATAAGTAATAATTAGGATAAGTCATTTTTGAAATAATGTATGTTATGTTATTGTAATACAATTATTGATGCATTACTGTAATATGCTCATCAGTTAAAAGTTGTCGTTGGTAAAGGTAGAGCTCATTGTAATTACTTAATGGGTAGGATGTGAATTTCCCCCCAGGATCAAGTCTTATCTTAACATATATTAATACATTGTAAGTTATTTATTAATTGCGTTTTGTAATATTGATCTGAATCTGAAAAGTAAATAAAGTTATCAACTAAATGTAGTGCAGTAAGTACAATTACCTCAAAATTTTACTAAGTAGAGTATCTTGAGTAAATGTACGTTATGTACGTTGTGTGTGTGTGTGTGTGTGTGTGTACAGGTAAAGGAGAGCCAGCAGGTGAAATTGGTGTTCTCAGAGCAGCTCAGCAGATTGCAGACCAAACAACACCAAGACACTGAACTGCTGGAGGAGATCAGGTACGAAACTCACCAGACTGGGGATGTCTGTATGAAATCCTCTCATTGAATCAAGTAAGACAGAGGGTGATAGGAAGATCAATACTAAAAGGGACAGTGAGAGCATCTTGACATGTCTGTTGATTTGTGTTGTGTTATTCTGTGTTCCCCAAGGACCTTCAGTAAGCAACGAGCCGCTATAGAGAAAGAATATGGTCAGGTGAGTGCACGAGCTATTCTAGTCCACTGTTAGTCCTATTACTGGAACCTTTCTGGTTTTTACTGGAAATATGCATCATTTATTGATTTCAGGTCCCATATCAGTACGTGAGTGCTGTGTTGTTGTTCATTGTCTCTTGTGACTCTGTGTGTACAGTTTGTGTGTGTCAATTTGTTTCAACACAGGGTTATGCCTCCCTAAATTTTTCCCTCCCTTTTCGTTTGATAAATGAAAGCTCTCACTAGATGTTCCAAGATTCTTCTCTGGAAAACTCTGGAGAGTGCTTCATGTGTTGTTCGCACCATGGTGGAGAATGTGTCATATATGTGTGTATCCACACTTAAAACCTTTTCCCATCAGCATGATGCAAAAATGCGGAGGTGGAATATAGAAAATCTGTGTGGGGAATTCTAGCATGACAACATTGCACCCCAGGTCCAGTGCCATGTTCCATTTTTGCAAAAAAACAAAAACAAAAAAAACCTACAAAACTATCCAGACAGAGAATGACTAAGAGGCTAACATGAACTACACACATCTGATGCCAACACTAGCTGTTGTGGATAGTCCCATTCGATGACCAACATATGTCAGCAAGAGCATATCAGCAACATTACATTTTCATATCTCAGCTGATTGGTGTTCTCAAGCCACAGGCCTTTATTGTTTTAGAGGTTTCCCTGTTTTGGCACATGGATGTATAATGAGACCTGGAAGCAGCATTGGGGCTGGGGGCTCAAAATTCCTTGCCTCCCCGGTCTGCCTCCAGGGTTTTTTCGGACCTAATTGTATTGCGGAGTTTTGCACAGCGGCAACCAGATCTTTGCCCTCAAACCACAAAAAAATGTGATGGCACAACAGTCTCCTTCAGTACATTATTCTGTGCTTTCTTTTGATTTTCACATTGGCTAGTCATCCTGTTTAATTTGTCTTCTGATTAAATCGGAACCGTTGAAACAAGTTGTAGGAAGCCTCTGCAAGTAACTGGTTGCTGGCAGACACTCTGTGCTGCAATAAAATGGTTAATCAGCAGTGCCGTGCACTGTAGAGCTGATGTGCTGCTGGTTCTGCCGGCCTGAATAAAATATAATGTCTACAGCCTTACTGTTGTGTACAGCCTTATAGACTGAGCTGAGTAGTGATGCGCGGGTCGACCCGTAACCCGCAGGACCCGCAAATGGACCTGCGGGTCGGGCAGCAGTGATCGTCTGTTAAATCGGTCTGTAAATGATATTTTGACATTATTGGCTATTACTGTCATGGCATCCGAAGGTACTGATGCGTTGAGCAGGTGACAGTCCGCGGTCATTTTCAAAACACACTTGTGTCACGCACTCCAAAAGAAACTTGTTGAAACTTTAAACAATAATTTATTGTACAAAACGGGGGAAACAAACATTGACAAAAACAGGTCCATAATTCATATTAAATTCAAAAGATAACGAAAAAACAGCTACAAGTTAGAGGGAATAGTGATAAAGTGGTAAAACTTGGCATTGATCAACAGCCTCAGGCGGATGCGCTCAAGCGTGCTGTGCGCACAAGCTCAGTTGGTAGGATACTAAGTGTTTTGATTTTTATTGATAACCTACATTTACCAACAACAAAAAGACTACATTTAGCACCAAAAAAATATGTTTAAAAAAAAAAGAAAAAAAAAAACAAAACGAATATCAAATACCAAATTTTCATAACGAATACCTACCCATAGAAACGAATATTCGAATATCCGAATATGTGGGTACAGCCCTAGTAAAATTGGCCCCAAAGCCTGGTGCTGTTCCCGTGGGCTTGTTTTGGCAGTTAGCTAGCTATGACCTGAAGTTATGACATCAGTTGAAACAAAGAATGTCATTGGTCAAAAAAAAATAAAAGAAAATTTTCCCTGGACAAATGCTCCCCAGGGGTGTGCAGGTATTCACAAGAAGCCCAAAAATCTGTTTTTTTTAATTGTCAATGCAAAATATTCTAACAAAATCTGTGCTCGGTGTGAAATGGCTTTAGTGTGTGCAAATCCATGCTAAGCTATTGTAATTGATTCATGAAAATGTCTGACACTTTAAGTCGTTTACACTGACAAATATCCACTCAAGCTGCTAGAGCCATGAGACAAAATATATTTTAAAAAATGGAAGGTACTTTAAAGCCAGTCTATTGCCACGCTAATGTTTCTATGAGGCTGTACTTTGGCGTTGTTGTGCTTTAGCTAATTACGTATTACCTGATGATGGTGTGTAGCCACAAAAATGTGTAGCTTCATATTAAAGCAAAAACAAGGGCAATGTAATTATGACAACAGCAAGTCAAAGAGGTCACAAATAATACAATAAAAAACTAATAGCATGATGCAAACAGCCTAATGCAAGTTTAGAGACAAAGAGGTAAGAAAGAAAATAATGTAAAAAAAAAAAAAAATGCAAGGCATTGTAGGTGCTTCACATCTCCTAATCAAGAGCTCAATGAACACCTTTCATAAAGAGCCCAATGTATATGTTGTTTGTAGCATTAGTTATTAAACTGTGTGAATGATAGTGAAGGAATGCATTTACCAAAGACGGCCCGCCTGATTCTCAGTTAAAGCATCGTCACTGTGTCTTTAATAAACTACATTTTGTTTCTTGGGGTTGTGATGCGGTGTTCAATTGTTTTTTTTCCCAGGCTCTTCAGAGGTTAGCTGTCCAGTACCAGAAAAGAGACTGGCAAAGAGGAAATACAGATGCTATCACTTCTGGGTAACTACACATACATACCACACACAGCCTTATCATCCTGTTTTCTGTTTCACTCTTCTGAGGGTGACTTTATTTTCCGAAACCATCTCCAATAGTATGGTATATGTATCTGCTCTGACATCATTTTCAGTAAAAGTACGTAAAGTTATCTAGTACAGTTAGTATGGCAGGTTTTCCAACAACGATGGTTGATGCTGAGATTACATGTTATTTATGCAAATACAATGGCTGAAGGTGATTCCATTAGATTCCATTAGACAGGGACAAACTTCAACTCCATGGCACTGAGTCAAGAAGTTTTTCTATATTTGGACCCCTTGGAGGACATTGTCAAATCTGAGTTTTACATAGGAAATAAACAGCAGAAAGGGATGTGTTTAATGATTGAACATAAACTTGCGTGTCTTAAACACTTACAGGTCACAACTATAACACACAGCAGGGCTCCCTCCTGGGATCCTTTTGCTTTGAGGCAACAGTACTAACCACTACACCACCGTGCTACCCTCACATAGAGAACAAACTGAAGTAATTTAGATGAAACCCTTATCATTAAACATGTGTCTGATTTGTCTGTTAGTATTAAAATTGCAGCAGGGTCCTCTTCATTGACAAATTTACCAGTGCTTGTTTCAAATTATGAGGCCTACAAATATAAGTACAGTATATGAGCAGAAATATGTCCAAATGTGCATTGTGGCTATTTACATTATAATATACTGAGAACATAACACAAGGTTGAGTCTTCATGGCACATATTAGTATTATGTTGATTACGATCTGTTTCACACATATTTACAGAGAGGTGGTAGATGTGACACTGCTTTAAGAGAGACGTGTAAAGTGCACTTAATCAATGGTTGTTGGCCCATTGGTCTCTGTGTGTGTGTTTTCAGGAGTGTGTTTGGTGTGTGGAGGTCAGTTGTAGATGCCACAGCTCAGTCCGCCGCATCACGACTAGCTGCTGCAGAGGAATACCGCCAACTGATTGGACACGCCTCCAGGAGTCTTCGCAATGCAAAGGACATCCGAGCTAAGAGAGTAAGAGAGCTGCACACCGTGTACACACACGCACGCACGCAGGCACACACACACACATACACACAGTGCTCAAATACTTATAACTCTTATAGGAGGGGGGTGCATACTGGGTGCATTTTCATCACTGCACCACACTATGCAATGACCATTACTGTAAATATCTTCCACTGATGGCTGAATGGATCGTTTCGCTCTGTGTGTGTGTGTGTGTGTGTGTGTGTGTGTGTGTGTGTGTGTGTGTGTTAGGGCCTAGAGCAGCTCCAGAAGGTGCAAGGGGAAGTGGTGGATGCTCTGCGGGAGCTGCACAGGATCAAGAAGAGCTACCACCAACTCAGTCACATCGCCAGTGTTGCCAGAGAGAAAGCAGCCGATGCACAGAGCAGGTTACTGTGTGTGGCAGAAGCAAAACAAACATAGAAACAAAAGCGATGACACTAACCCATGACAAAGATCAGTGGCTTTATCAAGAATGGTTTGTATCTACAAACACTATGAGCCAGTGATTTCTGCTAAAAAAAATTTAAGGGAGAATCAAAGAGGTCTGTAGATCTTGAGCCGTAAATTATTTCATATGCAGCTCTGAGATCAGAGATATAGTAATTTTGGTAAAAGTCCAGCTTTGTGTGTGGATAGACAGCCTGTTCTCATTCCTATGTCATCCATTACTGGCGCTTTGTCATGCCCCTAGGCATATCATAGTGACGAACAGGGCACCCTTTTGCGTCTCTATGTAATGCACAACTGAAACACATTGTTACACATGGTTAGTGTTGTGAAACGGTTGCGGTTAGGTTTAAGAAAAAAAAACGACTTAGTTAGGCTTCGTAAAAGGACCATGTCTTGGTTTAAAATAAGTACATTTGTATGTAACATGAGGTATATATTTCATGTGAGCCACGTCAGTGCATGATGACCATATGCAAATTACGTAACGTCAGAACACTGCCTTACATGGACTTTCTCACTCTTCATACCAAGTCGGTTGTTGTAACACTAACTGGTAAATTAAATGCTATCTCAGTCAAACATTAAGTTTACATATAGAACAGTGTTTCAGATGAATATTTCAGATAATGTGTAGCAACAGTATTTATGTCTTTTGTTGTTGTGTAATTTTTTTAATGTCTTATATATTAAGATAAGTTTTAACTCTGTCTTCTAGAGCCAGAAAGAGTGAACATGGAATTTTCCACTTTAAAACTGGACTACAAAAGATGACCGCCAAGGTATGACTTAGAAACTGACCATGTTAAACTAGACTGTGTATGTAGTTCCTACATAACAATATATAAACAAGCTAACTAAAAGCTTGAAGGGTAGAAAACCATCAAAACAAACTGATGATCACCAAATATTTTCAGCCTTTAACGTGCTAGCAGACAGCTGCCTATTTATCCTGCAGCATCAGTGCCACATTAGAATTCATTTGTCAGTTGTGTTAGAGTCGTGTTTGTGTCCACCTGATAAATCTAAGTCCAATCTTTAATCTCTTTTAGCTCTGTTTTTGGTCTCCACCAACTCCTGAGACAAACATCTGTCTCTTTAGCTGCTAAATGCTTTACTATGTTCTCCAGCTGCCTGTCTTTCACTACAAAGTGACATTCTCTTGCCCACATGAAATGGGTAGGACGCAGAAGCTTGGTGACAGTGACTCATTGCAGGGATAATGGTGAACTGATTTCAGCTGCTAGCTAACTGTTAGCTCAGTCTCGATAGCTCTCTACATTTTGTTCGCAATTGCATACCATTTCGCTGAGAAGAAAAAGGTACTGAAGAGGGAAAAATAACTCTGAGCTGATAGAGTGCTTCAGGGATGACGTTTTTCTGTAGGCTGATAAGGAAGTTAGTGTCAGCCTGCAAAAAGCCAACGGGATTTTTCCTTTGGATTTTTGGATTATTGCAGAAAATAAGTTCTGTGTCAAACAAACGTTTATGATACTTACACATTTTGCTCAGCAAGATCATCTTCACAAATGAACACCACTTTTATGATTTTTGAACCCTGAATGTAATTGCCATAAACAAACTACACTAGCATGATTTAATATCCCTACTACAGCAAGGCTGTAAAGCTTTGCTCGGTGTGTGACGTTCTGTAGTCTCATTTAGTCACTTGTCAGCGACTACCTTTTTTTAAGAAACATTAAGGCTTCAAAATTCACAAGTGGGGTATTTATTAATGTATTTTAGGTCATAGAACAAAATGGGAAAGTCTCTTGAATTGTGTTAACCACAGACCTTTGTTCAGGCATCTAACCAAAGCCCATCGACTTCAAGACAGGGAACCTGTGACTGCAGAAATGCTAACTCATTTTTGGGTTTTAGGACTCATTCTGGATGGAACTCTGTGTGCTTGCTAATTGTCAGCAAACACATTAGCTCGTTAGCTTAGCTTTGTCACAAATCAGAAAATAAAGGCCAAAACACACTGGTGGCAAATGACACTCGTCAAAAAAATATGCCCCTATCATCTTCAATGTATATTCCTGGACGTGCCACCCTACGCCACTGTCCTATTTCCAGCCTTGCCACCCCCAGGATTAAATACCCTTTTTCCCCCACTTGCTCTCTGCCTGAACATACTTGAACATACCGGCTCATGGCAGCTCTTTTTCTCTGCTCCTATGGCAGCTTGACTGCTCTCCTCACCATGGATGTGTCAAGAGAACCCTGTCGCTGTTGCTGTGACTTGTGTGTGACGAAGACTGGATGAGGAAAGGCTTGTTGTTGAGGTTGAAAAAGATCCCGAGCTAAACAACTTACAATCTTGTCATTATAAAGACAATGGCCAAAAAGATACCTCCTGGCGCATCATAGTTCTGGAGATTGGCTCTTCAGGTGAGAAATCAACTTGAATTAGTGGGTGTCTATGCATGGTTTTAGGGAAAGGCATAGACGGAAGAGAAAACTCTGTGTGGTCGTCTGTTGATGAACTGCAGCGCAACGCGTCCGGCATGTGCTGGGGACAGCACTTGACGCATGTCACCTGACATGCCGTGCCTCGGCGGCACCAGGCCCGGATTAAGAGGGCACACACAGACACAGACACACACACACACACACACACAGGCACGCACGCACGCCCACACGCACACACACGAACACCTGTAGGCTACAGGTGATGTGTGGTGATCCAAGAACTTCATCATCGCCACGGAAAGGGAACCTTATTTCACTTAGGAATTAAATGACGGCCACGACACGCTTCAACACCTCCCGCCAGTACCGCTTCTCTCCCTCCAGCTGTTGCACTAGTTGCGAATTCACAGTCCCGGGCCCCGTGACAGATGAGCGCCCAAACAACGCCAGCATGCAGCTACAGTGCTTTGTGCTTTTCTCGCGATCCCGCGATCCCGCAGACGTTTGGGGTGTTTCCATTCAGAGTAGCCACTAACAAACTGGGTTTTCTTCGTTGAAAATAGCATGCAAGCAAAGCAAAAAATATTACCTGTGGTTGGTATAGGGGATCCAGTCACGGGAAACGTTTTCTCCATTTTGTAGACGGCTGTACAGCAGATCGTTAGTGAAGGAGCACACTTTACCGCCCAAGCCGCCATCACGAGTTGATGCTGGGTATCTGCTTGTGCAGTTATGGAAGGCTGCAGGTCCACGATCAATAAGAACAGCTCGCGCGTTTTCACTCACTTCAACCCACAACGCCGGGTCCGACACTTCGCACATCCACTGAGAGCTGCCGGTGCTGTGACTGCAGCTAGCTAACGTTACAGGTTGTGGCGGGCTTCCGGTGGCATCTTCCTCCGGCTCCGGCTCCCGGTTAGCTAGCTTAGCTTGCACAGTGTTCTCCAACTCCAAAGCATCTTCTTCCCAGTGATTCTCCTGGCTCCGTTTGAGGATGAAAGTTTGGATGGAAGGAACACGTTTTAAAAAAAAAATTGCCTCCCTCTCCTCCTTTTCTTTTCTCCGCTTACATTTAGTACAACCACTTGTTTCGCTCATCTTTCATTCTCTATCACTGCTATCGCTGAGGACAGTCTCAGTCGCGTAGGGGCAGAGGCGGAGCGGCCTGTTACCATGGTTTCCACACTTGCACTTGACCAATCCACCTTATTTTCAAACATGGAAGTAAATAGTGATCAACTTCCGTTTTTTTGTGCGTGACTTCTGGTCAGCCACTTTCCCTCATGCTTTCCCTTACCGGAGCTAACAGTGCAAGCTAATTTTTTTTTCAATTTTCAGTTGTTTAGTCAATCAGTTAGTTAGTTAGTTAGTTAGTTAGTTAGTCTGCGTATTTTGTATAACGTTAGATAACTGTGCCCACGTTTCCGTTATAACGGAAATTTATTCTCTCTAAACGTGAATAAATCGCACGTCAATCATAAACTATGAACCAAAAAAGCACAATCTATCCCGAGTGAGACAAACTGCTTGATCCCCGTCTCCAGTGTACCAGCAGAGAACCTGCAGAACCGAATCAGCGAAAAAACACACCGGGCTACACAGCCTCTCTACGTGAGCAGCTGAAGCTGCGGCTCGCACCCTCGACACACAGACACACAGACGGTGCTTCTGCATGTCAGCCACACGTGTGCGCACCTGTGAGAAATAAATATGTGAGGTGTACGCTGCTTTTCTATCTTTTTTCCCTTTTCTTTCTTTCTTTCTTTCTGTCAGCGACATACACTTCTAACACAGGACGGGTTGTTTTAATTGAGTTGATCGTTAAGCCATAGTGATGTGCGGATCAGCTCTGATAGCACCTGAATCAGCATGTATGTATCAACCATCCAGCCATTACAACATGATCGAGCTAGCAAAGCAGTTTTGTATTGCTATGTGTGGTATTTATTCAGTTTTGGGAAATCACGATGTCTAGAAAGCATCAGTGGCTGCAGCTGACAGGGACAGCTAACGTTAACACTAGCAGCAAAGCTAACATCAGGATCGTCATCCGTTAAAAGCCTCCCGTTGTTGGATACGACATGAAACTACTCCAATTAGCTCAATCATGTTGTAACTAAGACATCTGCTGGAGAAAATATTTTTTTCACGGGCCACTTTGTGAGTTTAGTGAGTTATTACAGACACGGCTAACAGCTAACGGTTAGCCCAGCTAATCTACGATAACCATGTTATTAATTACACACAGAGAAAATACTAATGTTTGTTCAGTCATTGTGTTTATAGACTTTACAAACATCAGATTAGTCTAAACGGTGATATAGTGACGTGAAAAATGTGATATATACATATATATAGCTAAACTCAGCAAGGTAAACAACAAGGCGATTCCCATTTACACAGTGGTAAGAGTGCTGGACCGGAAGTGTCGCACAAAAAAACGGAAGCTGGCTGCGTTCTGTTTTGCCTCCGTGTTTCCGTGAAAAATAAGGTGGATTAAATCATTCTATTTAGGTAAAAAAAAAAATCAGCATGATTTTTATTGGTTATACCTAAGCAATATCACACGAGAGGGAGTGATGTACTATCGGTAATCGAAGACAATTACAACCATGACGATATAGGCTACAGTACAACACCACTCCCTCTCCTGTGATATTGCTTTTATACAACAGTTCAACAACAGCTTAAATAGCAATGCTGAGTAAGGAAATGTTAACAAAAGGTGATGAAATAAATTATTTAAGTATATTATGTAGCTCCGCGAAAAAAAAACAGTTCCCCCAGTCTGTTGCCAGGCAACGCAGCACACACACCAGGAACTCACAGCTACTTTGTATTTACATTGATCTGCAGCTGTGTAACTTCGTCCAGTTCGGCTGATGAAGCGTTGGCAAACCTGGATGTTGGAACGGCCGGATTCAGCTTCCACTCTCCCTCATCCTCAGTAATAATAATATCCATATTCTTGGTGTAACGCTATACTGTCAGTTTGCGTCAATGAAGCGAGTGTGACAGTTGGTAAATTAACGGTTGTATTTATATTTATAACACGTGAGCGGAGTGATTTTACTGTTACAAGTTCCAGTGATGTTATACTCTATATCAGCACTCATGGAATGCCTCTCCAAATTACTCGGTCGGAACTAACTGTTGTATAAATGGTGTCATTTATTTGAAATTTGAACAGGAGGGATTTAGGGGAAAAACGTTATACAGTTGTTTTCTCCCATTCTGGCTGGGCCCATGGCTGGGCCCTGTCTGCGCATGGGCCCCTGGGCCTGTGCTCATAAAGCCCATTGGGTAATCCGGCCACGGGCGGCACTGGTGTGTTTTCAGCTGAAGTCCAGTTTTTTCAGAAGCCATATTTGTATCACTGACTCTGTATTATTAGTCTGCAAACCGCTCTTTTGTGTGGAGCAGTTTTCACCCTGACAGATGAGAAAAGCGTGAATGATGCCACACAGCTGAAAAGCGCTCTCTCATCTCTGAAACAGTTTGCTATTGGTCAGTGCAGCAAATTTATGTGGATTAATTTGGCCTCCTCAGGCAGATCCTCAGATCATGCTGATTCTATTGGAATGTGAAATCCTGGTGTGTCCAGGTCTTTAAGACAAAACAGTAAGCTAAAAGAGGCACATTGTCAGAACCAGATATGTTCAGTGATGTGGCAGTTTATCATACTACACACTGAGTTTCATCCATTTTTTAATCAAATATCATCGTAAAACAACACTGAGACCTTTAGTTTAACAAAGTACCATAGGCCTTTATTGTTTTCATAGTAAATTTGGAGATGTTTCCTGCAGGTTTTACTTACCACAAAATATAATTTTGTGTGTCCTTGCAGCTCAGTGCCAGGTTGAGAGAGTGTGAAGATCGTTTGACTGAAGTTCGTAATGAGTATCTGCTGGCATTATCAGCAGTCAACGGCCATTACCAACACTACTATACGAATGACTTACCACAAATTATGGAGGTAAAACACCTGCGCACACGCACACACACACACACAAACACACACACACACACACACACATACAACCTGCCACATGCAAAAAGGAAACCATCTGATATGACACTATAACCACATCATTTCCTGATGCTTGCAGGCTGCTGGTCTGAGTCTGCTCTGCACAGTGTATGAAACACATCCTACTCTACCTTTATTCACTCAAACTGTACATTTGTGTTGCAAAAATCTAATTGGTGGCTTCATCTTTTCCTTCTTGATGTAAAGTTTGCAAACAAAAAAAAGATCTCACCCTATCCTCATATACTGTCGCCCATTAACTAGGGCTACATCCACATGCTACGTTTACGCCTACATCAAACTACCCCTGAAAAGGAGACCTTTCAAAATGCTGCTGACCTTGTTTTAGTTTGAAAGCTCCAAGGCTGCATTTTAGTATGAATGAGCGGAAACTGAGACATTTGATAACGATAACACACACACACTCGCGTTCGCTTCCCTATCGTGTCTTATCAGTTACAACGTGATAAGCCAAAACATTACAACTTGGTCCACATACCTTTTGTGAATTCCTCTTTCTTGTGTGGGTACTCCTTTGCCATGGCTTCCTCTGGCAATGATACTCCCAGTAGCCCCTGATGTGTGCTGTATTTGCTATGCAATGACTCCAAATCTGTCTTCCGCTGGCCTGATCACCTCATACTCATGTGTCACTTGACAGGCCCACCCTGTCATCAGTCCAAGCAAAGATATCTTGTTCATCAACTTACCACAAATGAACTGAGAACACAGAAGACCTGGGGACAGGCAGTATAATTTTAGCATCAGAACATCAGTTGTTTTTTGCATTTCTGTGGGTATGAGGAAGTGGTGGATGTATTAAAAAGAACCCTATACCAAATTTTAAAATGGAGCCCATTAATTCCAATGAAAGTTGCTCAGTGAGTGTATACGTTTTCCAATTTGTGGCCCCTAGAGATGGTAATCTAGAGTTCTTTTCTAGCTGAGCCGGATAAGACCATGCACATCCAAGACTGCTGGCCAGTTTATTTACTTTTGCTCTCCCTGCTCACACAAAGGCCATACAATAATTTAATGATGCACTTTTTCTAGGCTTTCAAGTTGTTATTAGACCTGTACTGGAATGAACTGTCTGTGTACTGTGCTTGAGAGGAACTTGCAAGTCATAGTGAATTTGTTACTGAAGTCTCACAACAACAACAACAACAACAACAACAACAATAGCTGTAGTGTTGAATAATGATAAAACCATTTGAAATAATGCAAACTGACTTCTGCACTCTCTTTCCCTCATCAGCAAATGGACGGTGATGTTTATGATGATTTGAGAAGCCATTTTACTGTGCTGTGTGGGACAGAGATGGATACCTGTCTGACCACACACAAACAGTACGGCACAATATGGGAGTGTGTTGCTAAGGTATGTGTGTGTATGTGCATACAGTGTTTTTGTGTTCTGTATAGTTTATTGTAACCAACAGTTTCAATAACCAAACAGCTGACAGCCATATTGGAGGTTCTCAATTCAAAGGTATTCTGGTTTACGTTTCTCCAAACCTTTTGCTGTCTGAGTTTCACACATGCAAGGTATCCCACAGTGGCTCCAGAGAAACCAGACATAAGACATTTCTCACCTTGTCTCTTGAAAAGATGGAGGTGGGGGCAGAGAGGTTACAGACAGGTTCACAGACAGGGAAAAAAAACAGGAATGCAGAAAGGTGGAAATGAAGACACAAGTTAAACATGGGAGGGAAAAAGGCAAATAAGACCATGGTTGAAAGTAAGAACAGATATGCAAGAAAAGGTGGAAGATACTAGTAGAGAAATGTTTTTTTTAATGTTCAAGAAAAAGCTAAGAATCTTTCTACAACTGAGTTTAAGTTGTACAAGGGAAATTCAACACATACACAAAATGTCTGAACTAATGTAGCTACTGTGTGAACTCTGAGGTAGGCTGTTCCCTTCGAGTGAGTAGAAAGTATTTTAACCCCCTAGGTCTTCATTGCTGTGATGTTACAAGGATGTTACAAATGAAAACGCTGGGATTGCTCAAAGAAATCCACCCACACCTCAACAACAGTGCAATTTTGGCTTGAAACTATTCCTGCATTAGCATTCATTAAGGTGCATCAAGGTACAGACCTCTCCTTTATTTATCAGAGCCTATGTTTCCAATCCTTTCTGATAAATTCAAGGGTAGGAGGTATTGTTTTGTTTGCTCCTGGTTAACATTGATTGGTTGCTGTATTGTCAGGTGACCAGAGAGAAAAACGTTCTGCAGTTTCTTCAAGAATCTGTCTCCTTCAGCAAAATTCCTGAATTCACCTTCCAGCCAGCTCCACGTGACAAGGTGTGTTTGCATGTTTGTGTATGTGAGCTTCAGAGGTGTAGAAGTTATACTTTTTGTTTGTCATGTTTCCTGAGTATTATTGGCTTAGTTTGCACACTTCCAGGAGTGTAAGAAAGTGCAGGCAGTGCAGTTGGGGCCCGTGGGGTGGTGGGGCCCAATTGCCACCTGGAAATGCGCTCGTGTTCAAAGAAGAACTCATGTTAGATCAAATATGATGCGATTTTATATGCCCTCACAAAAGCAAACCCATTTTTATCATGGTTTTTCTGTAACTGTAAAATAGTATAAGTCTAGAGGAAATTTATATGCTCATTCTACATAAACTATTAAAAAACCCGATAATTAAACTATAAAAACAATTCAGTTAAACTAATTATTTCCTATATTCTCTTTATTAGTTTTGGTCACATACAGATATGTAATGATGATTGCTGGGTAATGTTGATGTCGTTTAATATCAAGTCTCTGTTTAATCAAGGAATGAGAAATTACTATTTACAGTAGCTAGTTAAGGTGCAAAAGCTCTCAAGACTAGCAGGCTGGACACATCTGCAAATGGATTTAACATAAAAGCATCAGTAAGACACACTGTTGGTAAATACAATATATAGGCCTGTCATATTAGTGCACTGGGGCCCATTGTAACTACCGTTATTGCATATGGCAGACGCTTTGTTTGTTTACCTGTCTTTTCTACAAAATCCAAAATGTTTCCACATGGCTAGATTTATTCTAGAGATGGGAGTAAATATACTCATCGTCGTCTTCTTGGCTGCTTGCCATTATCTGCCAGGTGCTGTTTGACATTGACACAGACATGCTATGAAAAATTCAAAATAAAGGTGTATCTTAAAGATGATGATATTGATCGATGTTTTCACTTTGCATGGATGATACTTGATCATTGATAATTGAATCGATATAATGATTGAGATCAATAAATTGTTACACTCCTAATGTACAGGGATGGACATAAAAACTTTTTGTAGTTTATAGTATAACCCTCATGCAGGTCAGTGTAACAACGCCTGCGACATTAAAAAATGCACATGGTACTGAGGATCTTCACAAAAGGCTGTTGTATTGTTGATGCTGATGTATACACAGCAATGATGTATGTCTTTTGTGCAGGTGTCGACTCTACAGGAGGTTTGTGCTTCAGAAGCAGAAGGCTGTCTGGTTAAAGAGGCCAAGAAATGGGCTACAAAAGCTGCTAAGGACTATAAGATCATCACCCATGGAGAGAGGGTGAATTTTTGATCTCAAAGCTGGAAAGCCAAGATACTCCTCAACTAATGAATGCTTGTAGCAGTATAGCAATCATTTTTTCTTTTATTCAGAGTTTCCTCTTCTTGAGATATTGCTTTCTCCAATAGTTATTTCATTATTATTATCACTGAATTTATGAATTTCCGGCAGGCAATATAAAAGGAATGTATTGTATATCCCTATGTCTCTTTCTGTCAGGCTCTACAGATGTTGGAGAGTCGGTTGAAGCTGCTGTCGGGGGAGACGGGGCTTAGTGTGGAGCAGAAGATAGCAGAGGTGCAGGACAGTGTCAGGAAAGCCAAGGTACTACTTGGTCGTGTTCTTGTTTTTGTTCTTGTTCTTCTTTTTAATCTTGTTGTTGTTCTTCTTCTTCTTCTTTCCAACAAAAAAAACATCAGACGTGAGTTAGCCATTACTCCTCTTCTAAAAGTGATTTTGTCACCATTCTGCTCTCACATTTCATTCAGAGAAGACAGCACTTAAACTCATAAAACACATAAAACAGAAACAGAATATCTCCAAAAAGCAAAATTATAAAATCATTTGTGAGCTTAATTGAACAGCTGATAACGTTTCACAGCTCAATACTGAGGAAAAATTACTTAAATTAGCCAATCATATAAATGTAATGAAGAAAATAAATAGTTTTTGTGCATAATTAACACAGCAACATTTTATCAAATGAACAATACCAATTATCTTTGAGAAAGTGACTTACAGTATCAGTGTAGCAAGTCAAACAAAGAGAGACAGACAGTACAAAAGGACGACTGGGAATATGTATTAAGGATTTGTGGCTCTTCTTCATGCACTAAATGATCAGATAACATTTGTCATTGTTTACTTACAGGTTGCTTTGAGGTTCTGCGCACTATAACAGCTGCCACTAAAAATTGTATGTCAAAGGTCATACAATATGTATTTTCAGGTGTTCTTTCATAGAGGTGGAAAATATACAAGAAGGAAATGGAAAATGATACAAAAATAACTGATGTCTGACCGTAGCACAATGAGAAACTTCCTTTTTCCTCATTTCCTCAAACTGACACCTGTATTCACCCTCTGTCTTAAGCCCCCCTTCAGAAAAAGCCCAGTCTGCTGTGATTGGTCAGCATTTGAAGTTCTTTCGTATCTTGATGTCACTGCACTCATGATCTCAGAATGGTACTTGATGACCTCAGAATGGTACTTGATGACTTCAGAATGGTAATTGATGACCTCAGAATGGAACTTGATGACCTCAGAATGGAACTTGATGACTTAAGAATGGTACTTGATGTCTTCAGAATGGAACTTGATAACCTCAGAATGGTACTTGATGACTTCAGAATGGTACTTGATGACCTCAGAATGGTACTTGATGACTTCAGAATGGTACTTGATGACCTTAGAATGGTACTTGATGACCTCAGAATTGAACATGATGACTTCAGAATGGTACATGATGACCTCAGAATGGTACTTGATGACCTCAGAATGGAACATGATGACTTCAGAATGGTACATGATGACCCCAGAATGGTACTTGATGACCTCTGAATGGTACTTGATGACTTCAGAATGGTACTTGATGACCTCAGAATGGTCTTTGATGACCTCAGAATGGTACTTGATGACTTCAGAATGGTACTTGATGACGTCAGAATGGAACATGATGACTTAGAATGATACTTGATGACTTCAGAATGGTACTTGATGACATCAGAATGGAACATGATGACCTAGAATGATACTTGATGACTTCAGAATGGTACTTGATGACTTCAGAATGGTATTTGATGACCTCAGAATGGAACTTGATGACCTCAGAATGGAACTTGATGACCTCAGAATGGAACATGATGACCACAGAATGGTACTTGATTACTTCATAGTGGTACATGATGACCTCACTGTCATAGAGTGCTCCAGGGATGACGTTTTTCTGTAGGCAGATGTAGTCCTAAGTGTTGTCCTAGTCACATCGTCAAAAAGCCTGTGGGATTTTTCCAGTAGTATGGCAAACAAACATTGGCAATACTTACATGTTTTACTCACAACCTAACACCACTTTTATCATTTATGAAGCTTAAATGCAATCAACAAAAGTAAAAAGCTAACATCAGGCTTTAAACAAACTACGTCACCACCGCAACAAGGCTATAAAGCGTTTGATGGAATAACATCCTGGAGTCTCAATTAGCCGCTTGTTAGGAACCACTTTTTGTATGACGTCTTTTATCTTGTAGGACAAAACATGAAACTCTTTTAAGTGTGTTAACCACAGACCTTATTTCAGGCATCTAACAAAAACCCATTGACTTTAAGACAAGGGAACCGTGCGTGGTAAAACGTTAACTCATTTAGGCCTCATTCCTGGGGAAATGACTATAATGGAAAATCGTGGCACTTTCTAATCATCAATCAAAAATTACCTATAAAAGCTTCTAAACATAACCAGATATTTTCCAGCAGAAATATAATCCAAAATCAGGGAGAAATTAACAACATCGGCAACCAAGATTACATGTTTTCCTGACATTAGCATGTAGCCACATGTATGATCGCGGAGTACTTGCAACTGGGGCATGACTGTTAAGAGTATAGAAACACTTTCAACCATGAAAAATGACCAATACATGCTTCTAAACCAACATGTTTCCATATTTCAGCAGGATTATGATCCGACACAAGGAGAAATTAACCAAGATGTTTCTTTTAAATCTGTTTGCAGTTGTTTCATATATACCAGTAAACTACATCATCACATAGAGTTTAGACATCAACTGTCAAAGTTCAAAGCAGAGCAGAGTGTAGATGTTGTTAAGAAGTTGAAGTGCACATTAACATGGTACCCAGGCAGTCAGAAAAAGTACAAGCAGGAATAAAAAAAAACATTGAACCACTCACCATAAACAGAATGTCACTTTCTTTGACTTCTGCAAGGAAATATCCTGAATAAGTGTTCTGAAGTCAATAATTTATGGTGGCTTCCACTTTGTGACAGTCGTGGGGGAGTCGTGACAGCTCCTAATCCATCAGTGCAGTTATTTTTTAGTTTTATTGTTATATTTAACTTCAGTCAAAAGGAACTTCTTTTTTTATGATTTCTTATAGACATTTATGATAATTCAGAGAGAGATCACCCGAAGTGTAAATCACACTGAATTAATGGGACTTAAACCAATGGAATTGGTGGTAAAAACAGAGGCTAAATGTAACCATACTAATTTATTTGGTTTTATTCAGCTGAATAAAAGTTCACATAAAAATTGGATACAAATAGACTGCAGTGATGTTTCCCTAAAGCAGAGAGGGGACAGTTGGAAAAGACCCTCATCACCAAAATGGAGAAAAGTAAAGGGTTCATATACTGTAATGCTGGACCAGGTGCTAAGTTGACATGTCAAAATGTAAGAACAAGTGTCTTGTTTTCTTCCTGTCTCAGCTTAGCAGGGTGAAGGCAGAGGCCCGTCTGGCTCTGTTGTCAGACAGTGTCACAGGAACTGAACTGTGGCTTCACAATGCCATGAACCAGGCAGAGGAGGAGCTGGAGAGAGAGAGGCGCCTCAGTGAACAGAGGAAGTCCACTGAGGACTATTCAGTATGCAAACACACACACACACACACACACACACACACACACACACACACACAAAACTAACCTCCTTGAGTTTCTTAGTGAAAAGATGGAGAGCCGTTAGGGAGCTCTGGTGCCTCAGTGGTCTGAGGTTGACCTATCAGGGCCTGGGACATTTTTTCACATCCCATACCACCAGTGTGACATGGCTGTAGGGCTGGGCGATATGGAGAAAATCATATAATATATGATAATATCACAGTGTTTTTTACCTTAATATTGATATTGCAGGATTGAATATTGGTGCTTTCATAAAAAAAATACACAATGAGATTTATGATAAATAATCATCAGTAATGTAGATATAGTGACTAAATGGGTAAGGGTGAAAAATAGAATAGCCAGAACAGTCTGATAAGTTCAGGAAATCACATCACTTGTAATGCAGCCTTTAAAACCAGGAAAAGACAATACTTAAAATATTACGATATCCAAAATCTTAGACGAGATCTGGCCTCACAGTGTTAATAAAATAATGATATATTGCTCAGCCCTACATGTAGTCCAGCAAAAGAAATGGGTAATGGGGGTAACATGGCTAACCTGTTTTTTAGGACACTAATGATGTCTTGTTAGAATTTTTTCATGTTGCAAAGGTCAACTTGTGGCCTATGGGGCTCTTTTGGCGGCCATCTTTAACTGATCTATGAGTGGCAAAAAAATGCAGATTTTTATAACTTCTTAACCAGACAACATACAAAGCCAAATACACCCACATTTTCATATAATAATGACACCAGGAATAATAATAGAAAGTGACATGGTGCGACCACTCTTTATTGTTGGAAAACAGGCAAATAACAAATTTTAGGCTCATAGCAATGTCATTTTTGATATTTGTTTCTCAATTGGTTTTGGTTAGGTTGAGTTTATTGCAGTTTATTCTCTTAAACCAACTGCAAGTGTATTAAATGAATGGCAATCACTCTAACTGGCATAGATGGCAATCTGATAATGTAGTCGAAAGCCAAAGTCATGAAAATGGTGGTTTCATTGTTTAACACCATCATCATCATCATCATCATCATATGGTCACATGGGATCCCATTTTTCCTGCCAGACTAATGGTTGCCCTGCACAGCTGTACATGTATGTTGTACATAACTCCCCTAATTGTACATGGGAGTTTAGATGAGGAGCTCAGCAGGAAAGTGTTCTCCTGCCTGTCGACTTTGATCTTAATTCTCAGGCCAGTAAGAGACATGAAGGCATATATTCAGAGAAATATGTATTATAGTCTGTTAATATTGTGATTTATAGATTTAAAGGAGCACTTAATTGATACACTTGACAATATTCTGTATTTATCTTACTGTCAATAAAAGTATTCAGATTGGTTCCTACTAAAGTTATGACTCTTTAATCATGGTTCACAAATATATAGCTTCATTTTTTAAAGAAAGGCTCAGTGACTTCCTAAAAAAGTTATTAGTAAATGCTATTCAAACAGCAAAAAATAGTGTATTTATTGGAGACTATTTTCATGGGTGAATTAATCCACCTTTGGTGCTCAAGGGAGTATTTGTGACAGCAGGACAGCAGTGGTGGATGAGGTACACAGATATCTTAAGAGAAAATGACTTTGGTAGAAGTTAAGGTTTATTGTTAGAATATTACTTGAGTAAGTATCAAAAGTACATAAGTATTGAAAGTAAATTATGTAGTTATGAAGTTTATTTCTTCTTGACATGTACACTATCTTAAAAATGGAGCCTTCATTACACCTCAGGATAAATGAGGTCTTCTTCACAACTTGAAAGATTTAAAAGAACAAAATCCTGTCCAAAATCAGATTCTAACTTACATTGCCCAGCGAGATGGGCTGTGAGCCCCTAATAAAAGAAAATGAACAAAGCAGGGTAACATTTGGAGGATCAACCGTATTGAGACAAATATGTGAGATACCTTGCCTACTCATGTCACACTGATATGTTTATTGTGTGTTTTTTAGGAGGATGAGTTTGAGCTGACTGACTTTGAGGACTATGATGATGAGAACGGAGACATCTTTGCAGATCCAGTGTCAGCATCTGGAGTGTGTATTTACCCTGCCGCCTGCAGAGTCATCTATAGCTATCAGGTAGACATCACATTAATGAAATGTGTACTCGTACAGGTTAGATTTATTTCATCTGAAAATGTACTACAGCAAACCTTCTCTTATCTTGAGGTGAGGGCTTCACATAGTCCCAACTAGAACTTCCTCCATGCTTGAAAAAGAAAAAACAAAACAAAAAAAAAAACAGCGCAATTCCCAAAAATGTCAACATGAAAACTTGACAACTGTCTCATTGCAGTGGTTATGACAATTTGGAGAAGTAAAGTTAAGTGACAGGACAGAAAATGTTGAGAAACACACACTGAAAAATCAACAAGGTGTAAGAGGAAGGTGTTGAAATCAGCATCTGCAAGCAGTTTTAAAGTCCTGTTTGGTAGTTTGATCTCTCTAAATCAGGGGTCTTCAATGTTTTTTTAGGCCAAGGGCCCCTTAGCTCAAAAAGAGGCAGAGCAGGGAGCTCGTACTACAACCAGTGCATACAGTTGAATTGCACTTGAAATAATTCTCTAAATATTTCCCAGTCTTCTCTTATTTGCTCTTGCCTGCTGCTGACATGTAGCATGGCTAGATGTGTTAGCTCAAAAAGTTACATTCGAGACTGAGAGTCTTCTGTGGCTCATAAGAATACACTTCATTCATTCATCTTCTAACCGCTTCATCCTCTTGAGGGTTGCGGGGGGGGGCTGGAGCCTATCCCAGCTGACATCGGGCGAGAGGCAGGGTACACCCTGGACAGGTCGCCAGACTATCGCAGGGCTGACACATAGAGACAAACAACCATTCACGCTCACATTCACACCTATGGACAATTTAGAGTTATCAATTAACCTAGTCCCCAATCTGCATGTCTTTGGACTGTGGGAGGAAACCGGAGTGCCCGGAGAGAACCCATGCTGACATGGGGAGAACATGCAAACTCCGCACAGAAGGGCTCCCACGCCCGGGATCGAACCAGCAACCCTCTTGCTGTGAGGCGAGAGTGCTAACCACCACACCACCGTGCCATCCCCACTTGGAATAATAATAAAGCTAATAATAATAATAAAGCTAAAGCTAGCTTGGCCAAAATGTTTCAGTGGTACATATATGCTAGCTAACTAGTTCACTTCGCCTTTATGCATAACTGCAGCACAGTGATTTAGCATTAGCTAGCTCACATGACTGCATGAGGATCAATGGGTAACAGTTAGCCTATCATTAATGTTGTGTACTGTAAATGATTATTATCATTTTTAAATAAATAGGCGAATTTATGTTTGCTAATAATATGTTGGATTCATGTTGATGTTTGTATTTTTGAAAACAAACAAAACAAAAAAACAAAACAAAAAAAATACGTTAAAACTTAAATTAAATTATCAAACAATAATTTGGCAGCCTCTCTGCAGTCACTCTGAGGACCCCTAGGGATTGTGGACCCCCTATTGAAAACTCAGGGTCTAAGTAGATATGAAGAGAATGACTATATAAACTATATCTGATGTTGTTAAAAATGTAGAAAGTCATGCTAATCCTACTATGCACAGTTTGTGTTATCAGTGGATCTCACATAAGGTCAAAACTGTGCATAGTAGGATTAGCATGACTTTCTACATTTTTAACAACATCAGATATAGTTTATACAGAGATCAGCAGATCTTACATAAGGCAATGGATAGTGTCATTTCCTGTGTATATTTAGTACTGCAGTTGGATAATGTTTGAAGAATTCATAATGGCAAAAACATGTTTCTTCCCGTAGGCTAGCCAGTCAGATGAGCTGTCAATCATGGAAGGGGAGGAGCTTCAAGTGATTGAAGATGGAGACATGGAGGACTGGCTGAAGGTAAAGTCTGGTTATAATGTAACCATAGTTCTCTGAGTGAAGGGACTATCTCTCCACTTGCTTAGTGTATTCTTATACAACATTTCCTATCATATCCTACGAATTAGCACCACACAAATGACGTTACATCCTTTGCATAAAGTTGCTTATTTAATGTAAAGTTACGGAGGTTAGGTTTAGGCAAGTAAAGTTACTGTGGTTAGGTTCAGGAAAAGAAACATGGTGAGGATGTACCTTAAAATGAGTTCACTCAAAGTTCATACGGCTCTGAACACCAGTTTCCAGGGGAAAGTCTTGTGTTTTGTGACCCATCCACGTCCCAACCTGCCTCCACTTGGACCATTTGGGATAGTTTCCATCATCACTCCTCTCAGGGCATTTGTCACGTGATCGCGGCCTGCCAAAATACATGGAATATGCACAAATTACTGGTGCATCATTTGGAATATGGTGCATTACTTTTCACAGGAAAACTTACCAACAGTACATGAGAACAGCCTGCTCTGTTACATGTTCCACATGTACGGGGAATGAAGCCCCTGCTGTCAGGGTATGTGGGTGCTTCGCCATGCCCTACAATTTACCTATAAGAAACCCGTGCTAGTGTGAGATCACTGATTGTTTGTTTGGAAAATGTCTCAGGGCGGCCTGGAAGCCGGAGAGTCTCCTTTCGAAAAGAACCAAGGTAACAGTTTAACCAGACTCTCTATCATATCTCTCTCTCTCTGTTACATGTTCCACTGGCACGTGCTAGCTCTTTAAGACACTCTGTGAAGAGACAGTGTAGCCCACAAGCAGAGTTCACAAAACAACAAGTAACAAAGTATGCACACTAGTTACACATCAACCAGATCAAGGCCCCACTGAAGCGAAGGCTAAATTTAGTCTGTAAGACACAAGACTGACCCAAGGAGATAAAGGCCCAGCAAGACACAAAGCCCAAATCTGTCAACAGAGTGGCAACTTAGGTCAGCCCACAAGTCTCTAAGCTGACTGTTAAAATAGTGGTGAATGAGCATGTACCTCACATGGTCAAGTCCTCTATCAATGAGCCACACCCAGCAATCGCTCGCTGAAGGAGGGAGTGTTAAGGCCCTGATAGGACACAGCATGGACCGAGCTGCTCGACCCCCTGTCCTCTTTCAGGAGAGGAAAGTGACCACAAACTGCCTCAATTGCTGCCACCATCCCTCGCAGCAGCTGATTCCCTGCTTCCAGCTGGATCTGCAGAAATGATAGGATGTCCAGTTCTGTAAAGGGGGGGGTCCACCTGATGAGCCCCACACAGTGCAGTCAACACTCCCAGTGATACCAGTAGGCAGCTCAAGTGGAAGGTACCAGAGCCTCTTGCATAGTCCTGACTTCAGGTTCTGTAAGCCTAAAACTGGGAGTCTGTTCCTTTTAGGAGCTAGGCCACCAATGTGAGCCAGCCCTGACAAGAAAGGTTGGAACAAGATCCCACTTGCCTGAAACAGGCAGTCCCTCCATAGTGGGAGCAACCACCTCTGTCAAAGATCTGCTCTGGCACATGCACAGCTCTGAGTAAGCAGAAGAGGGGTTGAGCCCACCACCACAGATCTATGCAGATGCTAGTCAGTGAAGATTCTCGGTCATCCAAGTCATGGTAATCGTAAGTGCTATATCGTAGGCAACTGGACTTGCTTACGTTTCTTGAAGAAGTTTCACCTCTCATCCACTGAACTGAAGAAGCTTCTTGGATGAGAGGTGAAATGTCTTCAAGAAACGCAAGCAAGTCCAGTTGCCTATGATATAGCATATGCAGATGCTAGTTTGCATAAGATGGGGGAGCTAGGAATTGAAGGCTGCTGTCACTGTGCTGTTGGTCCTGACAATGGCATTGTGAACTCTCAATCCTGGCAGAAGCAGGTAGAGTGCGAGGTGAACAGCTTTCAGGTCCAGGATGTCTACAAATGGTCTCAACCACTGTTTGCTGACTTTCCATATCTGTGCCAAGCACCGGACTCACTGAGTGCATAAGCTCACAAGAAGCACAAACAGTCATCCTCCAGATATATATAATGTGTAATGGAGTGGAGAGATAGTCTCAGTATGGCGGCTCTGCTGTTTGTTGACTTATCAGGACATTATCAGCTTTAAAGAAAAAGAAAACATATTTCTTTATTTTGAAATTATTTTGGATGTGCAGTAGTCTATTTGCACATTTTCCAGTGACTCACCTGTGTCTCTATAATACCTGTTCCTGTCTCTGTCCAGGTGTGTAACTCATGTGGTCAGGTGGGGTATGTTCCTGAGCGTTATGTGCAGTTTCTGTGTCTGCCAGCAGAGGATGCTGCTCAACTGGACAGTTCTTTCAGCTCCACGTCATCTACTGGGAATAAAGACAGGGGAGGGAGCAGAGGTCAGTGTGTATGTTACAGCTGAATATATCAATTATATGTTGTATTTGATACACAGTCACATGTAAACATGTAATGTGTATGCACAAATGATTCATAATAAGCTGATGATGTCATGTGAGTGTGTTTGTTAACAATCCAGTTTGATTTGAATCCCTTGTCAGGTGTAGCCAGAGCTCTGTACTCCTACCAGGCCCAGAGTGCAGAGGAGCTGTCCTTCCAGGAGGGGGCACTGATTCACCTGATCCGCTGTCGACATGCAGAGGTGTGTGTTATCTATGCCAATGTAAGGGCTGAATCAGAGAAATGCAGTCTTCTGCTGCCTAAACTAAGAGGACACAACAAATCCCTCATGCTCACAATCCATCATGCTCCACTTAATTGTAAAGTTATAAAATGATTTATCAAGCTACACTGACACGTCAGATTCAGCTGTCAGGCTTATAGAGAGCTGAAGTCATGGTGTCACATCCGGGCAAATCTCAGAACCCAATGGCTCCTGGTCTGACAACAATTTAGCCTCAGGTGGTAACAGCTCATATTTTTGGAGATGTGGTGTAGCCACTGGGCCAAGACTCCCTCTTCTCTGTGCTGGTCATTGTTTCCTGCTCTCATTGTTTACGAACAGATTTCTGTATATGAATGCAGAAGAATTTAAAAAAAGGTATAAAGCTAAATTTTCCTCAGTAAATAGTTGATGGGTTCTAATATTGCATTTCAGCCAATGTGTTCCACCTCTCCACACAGACTGTTTAAAGCTCGCTCAAACATGATTGGTCAGTACTACTTGGACTGCAAACAGAAACCAGCTCTTCTGATATCATAAGCTCGTCCTATTGCCCACAGATTCTGCATACATATGCAAATATCTGCTCATATAGATTACATTCAGGGTCGTTTCTGCTCCACTAGCTTCTGTAACTCAACTGAATCTCTCACTCAGCATCTCTTTCATCGGGTCTGTCTCACAATATGAAGTGAGTTCATGTGAAGTGTGAGGTGTGCTTTTTGAAGTTAAAATCTTTGGGAATTTAACAAAGTAAAATAATGATAGATTTTTTTTTGGCATGCAAAAAACTGCAGCTCCCATAAAAATAGCAACACTTAACGTCATCACAACTTGGTTTTGTCCATATCCAGAAAACTCACCAGCTCCTCTGAAAACCTCTAAACTGTTCAGTCCTATCTGTCCTGCTGTAACAGACAGTGTCAGATGGATTTTCCTCTTTAGTCGAGTTTTAACATTTTACCAACAATGGCTAGGGCTTATGGGAAATGCTGTTTGGAAGTGGCCTCCGAAATAAGAAAGTCTGAATAAACAACAATATTAGATTTTGTTTTAAAGAACTTACTTATCTAAACATATGGATCTTATCTTACACCCAGTGCAAAGCGGTGCACAGCACAGAGAGTTGTCATTGCTAGTTTTCTGACCGATGCAGGTACATTTTCACAGCCAGCACCCAAGCAGGCAATGTGGCCATGGGTGTGTAGGTCTTAAATGAGGTGTAGTCAGGCATATTGTTGGCATATTGCTATATCGAGGCAGCAGAAAGCGATTGAGCAGCTTACCAACAAAAACCTGGTCTAAAGTCAGAATGACACAGTTTTTTCCTATTTTTTAAAGGGCACATTATTCAGATAATAAGATGTGCCTACATAGGTTCACAACACGTGTTCACTCTGCTTGTTACACACACAGGGAGGGGATGGGTTGCAGGTGGGTGAAATAATACATCATTAATGAGGAAAATGTGAACGCAGCAGAGAGCAGAGCTGCAGAGCTGCTGTCAGACTCCTCATTGAGAGAGACACTGCACATTTATGCAGAAGGAGCAGCATAGCTTTGCTGATAATTTCTGAAGCTACAGTTTAGTTCTGTTTCCTCTTTCAAGTTTATGACTGCAGTTTTTATTTTTGGTGCTCAAATGTCCCACCATATTTGCTGCAGTACCATTACTGCTCTTACTGCATTACTCTCAGCAGACAGTAATGCGGTAAATATAACCCTTTGCCCCTTGTGTCTTACATTGCACCCAGATTATGCTCCATTTAGCCAGCAAAAGTGGAGTTGGACACGCCTTACATGCACTTGTGCCATGCACTTTAGACGACATGCTATAGATTGTTAACCACACAACATACTGTTGAGCAAGGCTTTTAAGTTATTTATTTAATTACAAATATCATTGAAATTTTGAATATGGTTTTGTTACTTTTGGAACACAGCTTGGGTTTACTTCAGCTATCTATTGCTGTTTGTAGACCAGGCTCCACTTTTATCAGTCTCAGCATGACTTCGTGCTCATTGTGATTATTTGTATTGAAATATTCTCTCATAGTTTTTACTGGCTCTAGTATTAAAATGAGCTTCAGCCACATCTCAATGTCTTTACAAGCGAAGTATGCTCCCAGTTGTGATGGAATTCAGTTGTCATCACATGACAGAACGATTACAACTGAGTAAACTTTATTCTGTGATGAAGGCCATGAGGTGTGGATGAAAGCTCTGGAAAAAAAAAGCTAGTAAGTGGACCTTGAGTTTAGATTATTTTGTGGAAGGCATAAATGGATTCATGAGGTAGTGCTGGACTTGGTTATTGTCACACCATCTTTTCTGTTGTTACCTTTTCATTTCATGTATCCCACTGCAATACCTGTGTGAATGTTTTGCTTGACAGGTGGATGACGGCTTTTGGGAGGGAGAGCTGAATGGACGGATCGGTGTCTTCCCATCATTGGTGGTGGAGCTCGTCCATGATGAAGGGGAGGAGGAGGAAAGGGAAGACGAGGAGGTGAGACTGTATTCCCTTAATGGTTCATGAATAAAATATTACATGACACTAAAAGCAAAGCTTTATCTCACTTACCCTCTGACTTCTGCCCAACCCAGCCTCTCCCCACCCCAACCATGCCTCCCTTCTCTCCCCCCATCCCAACCTCTCCTGACCCTGGCTGTAGTTCAGCACTCAGTGCTACCCCCCCTGGCTGTGCGGAGGATAAACAGCAGGTCTTTCCTCCAAAGCTCACAGACAACTCAGTAGGTGAGTAATGTCAAAGCAGAGTTTTTGTCTCATCCTCCTTTTGCATTCTAATGCCACTATTTCCGACATGAGATAGCTAAGTGTGTGTGTGTTGTCCCATTAGAGTCTGCAGGCAGCAACCACAATTCTCCAGATCTCTCTAGCGGTCGACTAAGACCGGTATGTGCCCTTTCAACAAAATAATATTCAGTATATTTATGAATAGTTTTGGGCATATCATAGAATGCCCTCGATAACAAAATGGTTAGGGATGCACTGATTTATCGGCCACACACCCGTATCAGTATCACCCGTATTATGCACTTTATTTTCAGTCAGCCAGTCCTCCCTTGTACGTCTCCAGTTGATGCAAAACGCAGCTGCAGGCCTGTTAACTGGAGTACATAAGAGGGAGCATATAACTCCCATCCTGGCCTCTGTCCACTGGCTGCCTGTGCACTTTAGAGTCCATTTTAAGATTCTTTTATTAGTTTTTAAATCTTTAAATGGTCTGGCCCCACCTTACCTCTCTGAGCTTCTTCACCCCTACGCTCCTGCTCGGTGCCTCAGGTCAGCCGATCTGCTGCTTCTGGAGGTACCGAGGTCCAAACGGAAGCTCAGAGGGGACAGAGTTTTTTCCGTTGCCACACCTAAATTGTGGAACGACCTACCCCTCCACATTAGACAAGCCTCCTCACTGTCCATTTTTAAAACTCGTCTAAAAACCCATTTTTATTCCTTGGCTTTCAACTCCGCATGAGACTCTGCCTCTGTTTTAGTGTTTTACGGTTTGTTTTATTTATTGTTTTATTGTTTTTAAATTGTTTTATTGTTTTTAAATTGTTTTAAAAACAATAAACAATTATTTTAGTATTCATTTCCTGTTAATTGATTTATGTCCCTGTGTTGCTTTGTCTATTTATGTACAGCACTTTGTTTCAGCTGTGGCTGTTTTAAAGTGCTATATAAATAAAGTTGAGTTGAGTTGAGTTGAGTTGAGTTGACTGTCATCGGCCTGTCTGGTAGATAAGATGGCATTCACCAATGGCAGTGGGCGATATTATTCTGTTGTGTCACATCAATTTTGCACAGGCTAGAAAGCAGAACTTGAGACTAACAACATCCCATCATCCAGGGGACAATAGCAAACATATTTGGGATGAACAGAGATCTTTCCTGGGATGCCATCGGGACAAGGGACACAGTAAACTCAGCATCAGCACGTCAGGGGACACACCCTATTATTTACCTGATAATGCTACATTGTGAACCACAAATCTGTGTTGACAGTACTGGCCATCAGCCAAAATGTTATTCAAAAATCATTGGTATGGGCCCAGAATTTTGCAATCAGTGCATCCCTAAAATGGATAAATGAAGACTGGTAAATGCTAAATATACAGGTAATTGTAGAAATGATCTTTTTACTGACAGGGATCAGTGATAATCAACACATCTCTCTCCTCCCTCTGTACTGTTTTAGTGTCGAGCACCTCCTCCTCCTCCAACACAGAAGCCTTCACCTCAGCCTTGACATAAGACTGGAGTCACTGAGATTACATTGAAGAATACATGACTCAGACATGACTGTTGTGCCTTTTGTTGAAGTGTTAAATAAACAACTTGTATTTGTTTGTCAGTATTTGTTAGGTTTTTTCCATTAGTCAGCTTATAAGTTATAAGGTGATGTGAATTTACAGCAAGTAGCATAATCAGTCACTATACTTCAGATCCGTTGAACCACCCTCCATGTGACACTTTTACATTTAATCAGAATTCTAATTAATTTCTAAAACATCTCATATTGGGAAACAAATAATGAATATTTATAATTGTAGCATATGAAAAGTCAAGTGGCGTGTAGCTGTCTCTTTACATGCAACTGAGCTCTATCATTGAGTAAACTGATGATGACCCTTGACTAAGTGATATATTTAATTTCATATAATATTCAACGCTTAGCAACAGTGCAGAGCAACTAATAAACTGTACAATGAACCCAAATAGTGAACATAATAACTGCAGTTTGTGTTAAGCAGAGCAGATTATTTCCCCAGAGTACTGCTTCCTGTTTTCCTGATATTTTTAGTAACTTTTTTCTACAACTCTCTGTCTGTATTGTGCTTTTTTTTAAACAATCATACATAGCATATATTCTCATATTGTACTGTAACTGTACTGTACCATGTTTATTTGGGTTAGCAAGTTTACTGTTGAAGTCACTACCTGCAGATTTTAATATTTTATTTGTAAAAGAAATGAGACTATTGTGATGTAAATTGATGTGTTCTACATGTTCTCTTCACTGTAGTATTCTTTAAATATTTTTTGAATAGTGTTTTAGTAATGAATTAAAAGCCACAAAGTATAAAGAAATATTTACAAAGAAAATCACACATTGTTAAGCATATTGTTTTGAGTTTGAACTGCACTGTTTCATGTTTACCTGCTGTGCTGGCTGCCATTTAACCTGCTTTACTAATGTTGCTTCTAAAGCGCTGGTCCCCAACCTGTGAATCCTGACCTGACCCCCGCTAGGGGTCACCAAAGCTTCACAGGTCCTTCTTGATTTTAAGGGGTTTAAGAAAACTGATTTAAATTATTCACAGCAGGCCAAATCTTAGCCTTTCATTCATTTCTGTGAAGATAACTAAATGAAATTGTTAATTTCAAGATCAGATCATTATTCATGATATCAACTTGAAATTAAATCTCACAGGATAAAGGCACGATGAAGACCTGAACACAAACTATATTCACAAAGCCCTCACTCTCTGCTGAACAGCCTCGTCCTGCATTACTAAAGTACACAGTTAAACCAAAGAGCTAATAGAACAATTGCCAAAGGTCACAAAGAAGTAAACAATATTTAAACATATTAGTTGGACTGAAATTGTACCAAATCAAATTTCTCAAAGTCAGACTAACACACCCAGATAACATGATATGGGGTCGTATTACTCCTGCGTGTATATACAGTCATCCATCCATCCATCCATTTTCTAACTGCTTATCCTCTTGAGGGTCACGGGAGGGCTGGAGCCTATCCCAGCTGACATTGGGCGAGAGGCACATGTAGAGACAGACAACATTCACACCTATGGACAATTTAGTCACCAATTAAACTTTCCCCAACCTGCATGTCTTTGGACTGTGGGAGGAAGCCGGAGTACCCGGACAAAACCCACGCTGACACGGGGAGAACATGCAAACTCCGCACAGAAGGCCCTATATATATATATATATATATACAGTCAATCAGACCCAAACTGGCCTAGGTGCTCTGCGCATGCTCCAGTGTCCGCACTGGGCTTTGACCTGGAAGTCAAAAGCATTAAATGTGTAACGGAAGAAGAAGCTGTTAACAACATGGCAAAATCTACATCCACAGCCATGCATTTTTGGATGGACAAGGAGAGACCATCCATGCTGTGTCACCTGAAAGGGTTAAATATTTTGAAATATATGGCTAACTTGTTTGTTGATTGGTCTGGGATGTAATAGGTCAACCGGAAAAAGGTCCAGCTGAAAGGGGCCATATTATTGCCAGTGTAGTCAGACATACTTCCATCAATAAATACATTCCCCTCTTGTGCTTGTATTCAGTAATGCAGACAGTAGTCCGATTAAATGGCTAACTGTGCATTAAGTGAGTGTCTGTGGAGCAGCTTCAGACTTTATACTTGATGACATCACAAGTCTGAGACTTACTCCCTTGTTTCTGGCTTTGAGAGAGTAGCTCATGTTCACAAATACTGATTGATACTGATTCCTAGACCATGGAAATAACATTGGAATTCTTAATTAAGGTGGTGTCCCCTTTTATGTTCTATGTTTTATGGATTTAATTAAACACATTTTTTGGAGAGGCTCATTGTGCATTACACCCATAGTACGGCTATTAATATGACGTGCTGGTGTTTTATACAGTTCAGTGCTACCTGGATCCTTGACTGATGTCATCAAGCTCAACAAGGACAAAATACACACTCACACAGGTCTGAAAAGCAAAATTCTGATATTTATTCCATTAGAGTAAATTATGATACATCTGCATATTTACAAGTCTCTCACATCACTACATGTCTGTACAGATGTTCCAGGCCCTGCTAGTGAGGATAGATACATTGAACATCTTTAAAAACAACACCCACAGGGAGATCACAAACCCCTTGATTTTATGAGGCTGAATAATGAGTAGCTTTTGCACTTTTCAGTGGTGCTTCATTATGATTAGTTTAATAGCTGCTGCTCTGTGTGATGTTGGACATCTCACCATTTTGGTAGAACTGTCACATTGTTTTTGCATTTATAATAAATAACTTGCAGCAACATGGTGCATATATTACAAACTGACCAAAATGTGTTTAATATGTATCCATCTGTCAAAAAACAAAATGAGTATTTTCACGAGCCGAGAAGATACCAGTGTTGATGTCGTTGTGTCAACCTAAAGTACAAACAAAGATACAAACAACTAAATTGAAAAGTGGAGAAAAAACCAACAGCCCCATGTTCCTTAATGTCAATACTCATACATTTTGAACATCATGCTGCTGGTGTGTGAAACCTTGGGCTGATTGTGACATTGAAACATTCAGAAGCGTGACAGTCCCAGTGTGGATCTTTAACCAAATATGTAATTTAAAAATAATACTATAACCATAGTCAGTCTCTGGAGATTCAACATAAAGCTTTTTGATCATTTTGGTTTATTTATTTATTATTATTTGTTTATTAGCATGTTTGCCTTTATTGGATGGGACAAATTTTAGAGATTTTAGAGAGAGGGGGGTGACATGCAGCAAAGGGCCAAGGGTTAAAATCAAACCTGCACATAACCCTTGTGCATGGAGCGCCTGCTCTACTAGCTGAGCTAGTGGCCCAAAATTTGCTGGATTTTTAACTTTGCTTTGTAACTTAATTAACTTCTGAATTAGTTCCAAGGATATTTAGTACGCAGCAGTACCTCCTGACTTCTAGGCCACAGTTCCTTTTAAAGGACACAGATTATTGCTAAAACCATTTACTGGCTTATTTTTCACACTAGAATTACCAGACAATGTGTACGTTCATTTTTTGATTCTACTTGATTTAACCTCCCCCTGCATCCTCATATCAGGACATTATGTTTTGGGTATGCTGCACTGTATATTTTATTCTGCTTAACTGAGACCTGTTGTCCTCATTTGTGGACACTTTTATGTGCCATCTTGATCCCGACACCAAAGTAGACAAGGTACAAAACCTAATCAAATTTTATGGTTGAATTATTGTTTGTAGTTGATATTGTGAACACATTTAAACAATTTTATCAATAGTAACAAGCCGAGAGGCTGTTGATTGGGAAGTACTTGTTTGAGAACATTGGCACTTTATTATTTTATTATTGCAGCATTTCACACAGGCCAATTAGGTGTGACGGACTGTTCCTACACATAAACAGGACATTCCTATGGAGCTATGGAGCAGGGAAAATTAATGTACTTAGAATTTTGCAGTGTTGCTGTTGCACAGCTATGTTCAGGTGTTGAAATAAACACTTCTGAATAGTTTTAGACTTGAACAGTGTCCCCTAACCCATAGAGTGACAAACACTGAACAAATGTTGCACTTTGTAACTTTCTTTTTGCACAACGGTGTTCAGGTGTTGAAATAATCAGTTTTCTCCTATTATGCACGTGTGACTATTGAAGATAAACCCATTGTTACCATATGAGGACTTTTTTTCCCTTCAAAAACCACTTACTGTTCACTTGTTTTATAATCATCAGGTACTTTTCATCCCAAATAGCTAAGAGAAAAATGCATACCAAACAAAAGCTGGGGTCTCAAGAGGTTATGCAGAATTTAGAAATACCATCAATATTCAGCATTGTAAAAAATCTTAAAATCTTGTTCGTCCTTTAAATAAGTTAAGATAATCTTTTAAAGATATTCTTTCCAATGCATGTCAGCTTGTGTCAAACATTTTTTTCAATCAAATGATTTTTTTTCTTGGCCCTTGTAGTCTTATGTAGATACTTTGAGAAAACTGAAAAGAAGGGTAGAAACTATGCTGTCAAGAGTAAATATACTAAACATGGTATTCAGAAACCACCTGTTTGGTTTCACATGCACAACCTTATTACTTGACCTGGTTGGTACTCCATGTCTTGGTGACCGCATGAAACTGTCAGGAATGACCTTTGACCTCAACTTTTAAAAGTTTCACATTTAAACTGCAGTTTATTGGAGGGGAGAAAATCGAGATGCAGAGCTTCTCATAGGTCTGTGTTGAATAATATGGCTACCAATTGCTGCACTATTAAGACTTTTATATACATGAGTCGATATTTGCAATGCAGTGTACATACATGGTGCATTTAGCTAATTGTTATAGTGCTAAGATGGCTTCTGATATAGTGCATAGGTAAAAAAAACAAAACAACATGGTCCTCTTAACACATACCCCTAGTCATGTACAAAATAATTTTCCTTGTAAATGATTCTCCAGCAGGTTAACACATGAGCACATGTTGTGTGGAAAGGTAACAGCTTGTTATTAATAGAATAAATATGTCAATGACTGCTCAGAAGTTTAGGAGCATATTTACTGTAAAAGTGAAGTTTGGAGGATGGAAATACACTTTGATGGGGAGGGCGTGATGCATTTGGTGACCAGCAGAGGGTGACACACAATCTTTCATGATCACACTTTGAAACTTGGTCTTTATAGGATAGAGACATTCTGTCCACATGTCAGCTTGAGAAAAAAGAAAAAAGGTCAGACAGCCAAACAGAGGATGGTTGAAAAAAAAATTCGAGGGTAAAAGAAAGACACGTAGTAAGAAGGAAAGTGGGTCAGCAGACTACAGGCCCCATGGTTGCTTTCCCATAAAGGCCAGGAAATGATGCTGACCCCTGACCTGAAACCTTTTGAACTGTGTGTGATGAACTCCTTCTGTTCTAGCCGGTGTCTTGAGAAGGAGTCTCCAGGGCAGGAGGCTCGGTTGTATACTGGAACGAACGCCAGCAAATCTTAACAAATTCAGATTCCCCTCTAGTGTTTGATGTTACCATGGTGTTTCTACTGACAAACATGCCTTGCTGTCTTAAAGGTTCAGTTCACTCAAATTATATAAATCACATACACACTTTCTTACTCAATCCTAATTCTATCTGGTATGGAAATTTTACTCACTTTCACTTTTTAGGTGGTAAAAATTTCAGGGACAGGTATCTGACAGCCCGAGCACATATAAATCAAAACTATCTGCATGGCCAACCACGAAGCAAAATTATTTCAGTAGTCCATTTTACAGAGAGATTGCCATTGCCATTATATTCTATAGGAACGCTACCAAGTCCCTTCTTTATGCCACCTTTGCATTTTTACACAGAACTAAACAACAGCATCATCATGTTGTTTCAGTGTGTGATGTCAGACAGCATGCCAGCATCGCAGATAGAAAAGTAACATGACATGTAACATAACAGCGTCGGCCTCTAATGTGACATCTAAATAACACTTTCTAAACAATAACAATGGCATTACCATGGAAATAACAATCGTTAACCACCACTGTTATATGGCGGCTGATCTCTTCTTCTGCCGGGAGAGTAAGGAGCTCCTTAAAGCTACTTAAAAGAAAATTTCTGTTTTTTACAAACTGGATCTTCTTTTTGTAATTTTAGCTACCACTCTTAGGTTAGATTGGTGCTTATATAAGCAGTCAGAGTGATTTAAACAAAACCAAAGTCTTATAAAACCAAATCTCGTGTAAATACCATTGCCCTGTCCAAAGATTTTATTGTTATTTCAGTCATTCTCCAAAAAATAAACAAACTCACAAAATTAAACCAAGGTTGTAAAAACATGTAATTTTCCCTTAAAATGTCATCAAATTGGACACAGCTTTACACATGATACACTCTGGACCACACCTTTAAATTGTTGCTGCAAAGTGTATAATGGCTTTGTTATAGAGACATAATGCACAGTAAAGGTGAAAGGTGAAGTTGTGTATATACTCCATGTGTAACATCACACACCTGTAACTGAACGACAGTTGTTACTGCCTGTAACCAGATTGCTCCAGTGTTGGAGTTAAGTTTTTTTTAAAAGTGCGTCAAAATAAATAGTTTTGCAGGTATGATGCATATAATGTTGTGTCACATGTCTTACTGAGTTCTACTGTATAAACACATGAAGGGGAACAGAAGGCAAATCAATGGAGAGATCAATTATATATGTACAATATCACATGTCCCATATCTGCTGTAGAAGCTTTAAAAGTTAGACTTTAAAATACTCCATTATATTTCAAAATACACAGCATACCTTCAAATAAATTACTTTGAAATGTCACAGCTTTAAGGACTGCAGAGGCTGTTTTGTGGAAGTTTGTGGAAGGTCTCTGTAGTCTCAGCTTATTTCACATGTAGGGCAGCCACACTGTCATCCCTGGATATGCACTGCTCGATACAATCATCAGTACAGAGTACAAAGTCTATGGCTGTACTTTGCATTATGGCAATCATTTGCTGTTGTTTCGCACTTTCCTGGTAAGCATTCAATTTATGTTGGACATATTACAAACTGGCATGAACAGACAAAGAAGACTAAAAAAATTGGCCAATATTTTACTGGATATGTAATAATTTCACAATTCCAAAAAACTAGTCTGTGACTGGTATACAGGAAATGTTGTATATTTACCAGTGGAAGTGCCTGATTACAATAGTATAAGCTTGACCACCACCACAAGACCCATGTTCAAAACAACTGCTAGTGTTTGTATGGTGGGAAACCAGTGAGGGATCAAGTCCATATTTCCTCACTTGCATGAACAGGGAACCAGGGTGGGTTTATGGGGGGCTTTGTGAACATCCATAAGAATTTTATTCACATAAGAGAAATGGTCATTCCAAATTTGGAGAAAAAGGGAGGACATTTGGACTGAACAGACTGTTGTATGCCCCTGGCAGCATACTTTACATGCCAGTTAATTTACAGCTCAGTGGTCTAGTGGTAGAGTGTCCGCCCTGAGACTGGGAGGTCGTGGGTTTGATCCCTGGCCGGGTCATACCAAAGACTATAAAAATGGGACCCATTGCCTCCCTGCTTGGCACTCAGCATCAGGGGTTAGAATTGGGGGGTTAGATCACCACATGCTTCCCGAGCGCGGCACCGCTGCTGCTCACCGCTCCCTCAGGGGATGGGTCAAATGCGGAGAACAAATTTCACACACTCAGGTGTGTGACAGTCAGTGGAACTTTAACTTTAACAGAATAGCATGGGTTGAAACAGAGTTACATGAACTTGCTGCGAATTCACTTAACTGATATATCTCTGTTGGCCAAGCTGCCCATAGAGCGACTGTTGCTCCCCTGTGCTTGTGCTGTTAATCTTGATTCACAATCAGCAGGATCAATAGATGAGATTAGAACTTGCCAGCTCTTAGCACCTTTATATATCAGCCAACCAAGCAGTCAGCTTGTCACATGTGAAACTATTTAGTCAAAGGAAAACTCAGCCTCTGCAAAATATAGGCAAGTGTGGGAAATATAGGATAAAAAAATAAGGATTTCATCCTAACATAACTCTTGCCATGCAGTTTAGTACAGACAGTAATGTTTCCTTCAGGAGTAACAGTAATGGTGTTGGTCATCCTCTGACTTTTCATGTAGCCCCCTAATCAGGCCAAAATCACAGTTTCTCCAATACTGGAAACATCTTTTAAAATTGAGCATGTTAATATTGTCATTGTGGGTATGTTAGCATACTGACATTAGCATTTTGCGCAAACGCTGATGTCCATGGTGCTACATACAGCCTCACAGAGCCGCTAACATGGCTCTAAACTCTGGATGGAATAAGAGTACAAAAAAACATTTAAAACAAAAAAACACAAAGGCATCGTTTGCAAAATGATTAGCCATGATGTAAACTAAAGTATTAGTGATTTGTGTTAAAAGGGTAAAACATGCATCATTTATCATATCATCCTTTCAATCTAGCAGTGGTATATATGATGATTTTTCATCAATCAGCTGACTAGTCAGTTTACCAGCCAGTTCAGTCTCACTGCAACATTTTCACAGCTGTGGTTACATAATCAAAGCCGTGTTTATAATTACTTAATTTCATTATTACTACATTTCCCTTCCTATAGTCCACTAAGTGGTACCCCTTGGTATCACTTCTTTCTTTGGATTATCAAAGCTGAACTCTGGACCATGTCACTATTAGACTCTGCCTATTAGTCCTGTTTTGTGTTCACCATCTTCTCCAACTCCTCCTTCACCCTCTCTGCTTCTTACACCTGCATCACTTTGCAGTCCCCAATATCTTCCATCTCCACCATATCGTCCTTGTCTTGGCTCGCCCTTGGCCTAACCTCTGCTCCAGGAGGCCCTCTACTTTGATTTTCAGCTTGTCCAACACCTGAACCCTGAACCTCTCCTCCAAGACCAACTGCTGGACTAATTCCTGCTTTTTCTGATTCATCCCTGAGTTCAGAAGTCTCTCCTTTCTGGTCTTTTACTGAAGTAGAGGGTTCTTTCTCCTCCACCATAGTGACAACAGAGAACTCTCTCTTGCTCTCAGGACTGGCATTGATGATGGTCACACTACTTATTCTGCTCCCTAATTGTGAGGAGGGGGACAGTGGACTGGAAGGTGACAAAGGCAAATGGCTCAGTCTGTCTTTAGAAAGCTGATCAGTGGGAGAGTAAAGGGCAGAGCCTTTAGAATCTCCCTCAACTGGTGAAAGTTCAGCTTTCTTGAGAATCCCCACCCTCACTTTTTCTGTCTTTTCTTCTGTCTTCATGATTCCAGCTCCTTTCACCTCTTGTTCCTTTAGAGGTAATGGACTTGAAACCATTTCCCCTTTGGTCATCGAAATTTCAGACATCACACTTTCTGACTTCAAATTCAGAAGAGGAGAACTTCCAAAGGACGGGTTTTGGTCAGCTGGAGAAGAAGAGGGGTTTTGTGGTGATACTGGCATGGTGTCAAGTTTGGGGCTAGCAGTGAGAGCAGGTAAGGAAGTTTGGGCTTGTAATGGACTAGCACTTATTCCAAAGGATGAAGATGGAATAGGGGATTCGCTAGACATCGCTTGGCCTGACTGGAGTTTGGGGCTTGGAGTGAGGGCAGGAGAAAAGGCAGTTTTTGAAGACTCTGATGGTGTACTTTTTGAGCTTAGTTTGGGGCTTGGTGTGACTGCCACGGGTGAGATAGGAGTTTTTAGTGAGGAGGCTAAAGATGGAGGGGATGAACCTAAGCTTATTAAAGCTAAGCTAGCACCAAAGCCTGATTCTGGATCTGGGCTGGAGCTTGGGTTGGAGGGGGTTTGGGTAAGTGGAAGACCAGAGCCAGAATAGGGTTCAGGTTGGCCAGTAGGACTGACAGGAGTGATACCTGCAATGGATCCAGGCATTGGGGCAATGGGTGTAGAGGTTTGTAGTGGCCCAGGATCATATGCCTCTGGATTGTTTAACACCTTATCATCTCTTTGTTTCTCTGTTGTTTTAAATGTCTGTCCAGATGAAACAGAGGATGGAATGGGAAGAGAGCTGGGGACAGAAGCTGCTGTAGTCCCAACAGAAGGTTTGATCATAAGGTTCGTACGTGGCTCAGGACTGGGCCCATCTTTAGAGCCATCCTCTGGAGTAGACTTAGAGCCACGGGCCTGATCCTTACTTTGAGAAGAGGGAGAATTAACGGAACCTGAAGTTTTAGCCTCACGATGAGGTGAAGAAGGTGACTGATTCTTTGAGGGCTCGGTTTCAGGTTTGATACCAGGTTTAGTACCACGTTCAGGAGAGACTCTAGTGTTCTCTGCCTGCGACAGTTCCTCCAGCACTACAGGTTGCTTCTGAATAGCGAATCTAAAACCTCCAGTCTCCCTGACTGTCCCCTCTGCTCCTTTAATGCCAATGGGGTCGCTGCCCCGCCTCAGCCCAAATATGGTTACACTCTTCTTGCGTTTCCCCACATTTGGGCCAACCCCATTGGAGCCCTCTGAAGGTGGTCGGGCATCCTTGAACATGCTTCTCAGATTATACCCGCCCTCCTTCCGCTCCTCACTGTCCTGGGATTGGTCCAGCTGGTCCCCTGAACTGATCATTGGATTAGGACTTCCGTGAGGCTTCTTATCTGTGTGGGTCACTCTGAACCTGAAGGGATAATGATAAATTCAGGATTATATATTTCTGCTACTCTCTCCCAACATGCACTGTGCATGAATGGTTTAATTATTACCTGCCAACAGAGAAGACAGTCTGCTCTCCAGGTCGTTGTTTAAAGCGTGGCGTTCGACTATGTCGTCTGCCCTTTTTAGCTCGGACCTGGGCACAGAGATGGCAGGTGTTGTGGTCGGTGCCTGAGTGGACTGTGTGGTGATGGGAAGGAACACCACCAATGGACTCCTTGCGCAATCTTGGACAACAACATTATCATTAGTATAATCATGTCTATTATTCTCATTATCATGGTGTGTGTATAATATGTGATGTGTGTACTCTAAAGCAGGAATTGTGCTTCTCTGAGCTGCATGTAGGCAAACATTTGTATGTTGATCGGATATGTAGAGAAAATCGATTGATTTAGTTGGTCAGACTATTTACAGTGGTAATAATGAGGTAAAATAAATTGTTAGACTTGATTCATTTTTAAATTTCAAATTGTTCACTTTAGTCATTGTGTGGAAGAAGGAACATGCAAAGTCTCTGAATGCTGGTTTAAAAGTGGTTGATTATGTGCATATACAAGTCAAAAATGGGAAACTGTTGTGTCATGTGACTGTTCTGTAACATTCAAGCTACAGGTAAAACCACACTGTTCACATTCACTTCAGAGGATTAAAGACATTGTCCAGCTCAAGACTAAAAAGTTTAAATGTTGTTTATGCAGTCAACAAACAATAATTTGTCACAGTAATATAGACTCTGTTGAATGAGCTTACCTGGGGTCGTGGCGCACACAGACATTTTGGTTTCCAAACATCTCATTGAAAGCTTCCATGTTAGCTACAGGTGACAAATGGAAGAACCCAAATAAGAGTAGTGCTAACCGTGTACTGGTAGATGGATTTGCTGATACATACTGATTAGGTTTGGGCAGTATTACCGTATACCAGGGTGTTTAGACATCCTAACAATTGGTGATTACTGGAACAGTGGAATCACTAACTAAACGACTTACAAGACTAAGATGGTTTTGGTGAGTTTTATTTTGTCTCTGTCAAGATTGAATGAAGTGTTTTATCATGAGTTAACAGGGCAATTAAGCTAGTCTTTGGTGAAAGATGGAAACTTGGATTCAGAGGGTGTACGGCTGTATTTCTCTCTTTAATAAGCAAAACAAGTGAGTTGTTGTGATAGTATTGTGCCAAAAACTGCAGTTCCTCTATTGGCCACTTGAGGCTGCCTTCTGAAGCCAGTCAATCACCATTGACCCCCATGTTAAAATAGAAATAAACATGTTTATAGCCTGGTACAAAAAAAAAAAAAAAAAGCATAATTAAGGTTGGGCTGCTTTGAGTGACAGGCTGTCTCCCAACAGTGTCCTCACTGCCAACCTCTCACCTAAATATCGTGACTTAGAGATAAATAAACAAAGATGGCCATGGCCAAAATGTCAACAAAGCAAGGGGTTAAGTCATGGTAGCTACGTCCATTCTTTTTAGTCTATTTTAGTCTCTTTACAGTCAATAAGCGCTGCACACAGATAACGTCATGTACCCAAGACCCTGGTGAAATTTCAGGAATGTATATGTACAGTAAAAACAGATACTGCCCAAGCCTAATACTGATCTTGCAATGCTTTTGTCACCTTCATTTTCAATAATGCATTTGAGGATCTGTTCCACTGTGTCCTGGTTTTCTTCATCCTCATCTGAAACAAAGCAGAACAAACAAATCAAACCCACAGCTTTTAAATATTGCAGTGCCTTTGTCCAAACACCACACCCAAACTGTCTGTCAACCAACACTGGTTGGAGGGACGATTCACTCAGGTTTGCAGAATTTACAATCACAAATGAGAGGTTATGAGATATCCCCTGTACAATAGAGATTAGTGTAGTGAGATTGTTCTGACTAATATCAACATTTCTTTCGACACACAGTGTCCTTTTTACTGTGGTACATCCACAGAACATCATCAATTTTCATCGAGAATATTTATTTGATATTAAGCTGCTTCAATGAAAACTGATCACCATGATATCAGTGGATTATCCACACCAATATAGTACTGTTCAGGATCGGGAAATACATGCTGCTATTTTTTTTTTAACCATAATTTTTCAATGCAGTGATTTTTTTAAACATTCACAGACAGTTATACTGCAAAAAGTCCACTTTGAGTACAAGTGTATACTTTGGTGAGATGGATATTTGTGTGTTGTGTACTACGGTATTTGGGCAAAGTTTTTTTTCAAATACTTATGCCTTTCAGAGACGTCCATGTTCCACTCTTTAGCTGTATATGCATCTGTGTTTGTGTGTTTACAAGCGTGTGAATGCTCATACATGTGCATAGACAGTTTTATGCATCAAAGTGAGTGTCTGTTTGAATAACTTTGTGTGTGAGAGTACTTGTGATACAGACCTCAAAGTAGACCACATAGGTTTGTGAGTGTTTGTGTATTTCTGTAGGAGGGTGTGGGTGAAAAAAGAGCGAGTGGGAGAGAGAATGAGATGGAAAGAAACACTAAGATAACAAATGGTCTAAATGTTGAGGATCACAAATGCTAAAAAAAACACAGGTAGTAGTATTTTCTCTAATTCTGAAGGAAAATGTTTAATGCCTGTATATCGTGGACAATATAGAATTATGGTTGTTAAGTGGAGCTATGATTAAAGAGAATGCAGTATTTTCTTTCTTTATAAATACCGAATTTGTATGTAAGTGCAGTTAGAGTAACATGCTCCCTCCCTGCCTGGCAACTGCCAATTCTTTTTACCACACAGACCTTCTGCTGTAAATGTGTGATCTACAAGCCCAAGATAACCCTGATGAGATGACTGGGGATATTTTTGACATTACAGAGCTCCTCCAGAGCCAAGAAAACGCTATGCAAATGTTTTCACAGGCTAAATAGCACTCCTGAGACTAGTAAACTAATCATTAAACGTCAATGCTGTGGAGTTCCCCTTTAGGTTCTTGTAAACCACCCTGTATATTCTTAACCCACCGTCGGAATTTCCTCCAAGCTTCTCCTCCTCATCTTCATCTTCCATGTCTCCAGTGCGGCAGCGGTAGCCCTTCTTCTTCAGCAGGTGGCAGATGAGGAAGCCAAACAGTCCAGTGAGGAAGAAGAGGAAGACCACCACAAAGATAATGTAGGGTGGGGGATTTTCCCCCACCCCTGAGGCTTCTAATTCAGTCATAACGTAGGTTCAGTCTGAGTCATAGAGAGAAAGTAATAAAAATAAGATAAAAAAAAGTTGAGAATGACAGCCACTCACATTATACAGCAGTTAATACCACCCACATAATACAAACACATTATAATCACTGAGATATGAAAATGGGAAATGTGTAAGATTTCTAATCACCAGATACAAGCATTAGTGACAGAATAATAATTATTGATGTTACTGGCAGTTGAGCTGTGAAGGATTTTGTCAGTGTGAGGACAAAAGTTACAAAATGTGATGAAGAGTTTTACAAGAACAATAAGGTGGATTAAAGCCATCTTATCTGTAGTAAAACCTCCCATCCCCAACCTCGATCAAGAGAGACAGAAATGTAGTGTCAGTTAAAAAAATGTACAGGCTTTTCAAATCATCTTCAAGACTTCAGCTTACCTATTACATTTGTCTTCCTTTTTTAGGAACTATATGTTGGGGGTCGCGGGTGTGCTGGAGCCTACGCCAGCTGATATTGGGCGAGAGGCAGGTCACATCCTGGATAGGTCGTCAGACTATCGCAGGACTGACACACAGGCCCCTTTTACACTGCCAGATTTTCCGCGAATGTTGGGCTGTTTTGCCGGCAAGCTGCGAGTGTTTAGACACACAGAGTTGATCGAGGTGCCGAATTTTCCGCCTCATAGTGTAGACGTATTGGCGGAACCCTTTTAGTTTAAAAAGACAGAGGCGGCCTTCTGCAACGGAGGAGCTGTTGATGACACTGCACGTGTGAGCCACTGGCAGTGGATAAACAGGAAACAGCTGATAGCAGGAATTAGCGAGCAGCTAGTAGCAAGAGGGAAACACAAAGCTGACAGACACTGTAAAGATGAGCAACTGGGGAGACAAGGAATTGCGTGCCCTCCTTGTCCTCGCAAACGAGGAGGCTATTAACCATCAGATGACAGGGACGGCGAAGAGTGGGCCAACTTATGAGAGAATCGCAGAAGGACTGACCAGCCACGGCTTCCCTCTGAGTACGTCACATGCTGAGCTACATGTTTTGTGACTTGCTCATGCGAAAGTAGGTAGGCGGCATTTTGCCGCACTCCCCGATTTTGTTTTACTACTGCCAATGCTGAAAAAAGACTGATTGGGCTTTCCTGCAAAGTTGCACAATTCCTGTTCAAAAAGGGCTATAGAGACAGACAACCATTCATGCTCACATTCACACCTACAGGCAAGTTAGGGTCAACAATTAACCTAACCTGCATGTCTTGTGGGATTTTGGGAGGAAGCTGGGGCACCCAGAGAAAACCTGACACAGGGAGAACATGTAGGCTGGTTCGAGTCCAGGGGAACCCAGGGGGTTTGAACCAGGAACCCTCTTGTTGTGAGGCGACAATGCTAACCACTGCACCACCATGCCACCAATGTTCACAACCATTAAAAAAAGTAAAAACTAGCTCAGAAACAGCTCATTTGGCAGCTCAAACTATTACTCAGGATTGTGGGGGCGTAATCAGATCATACTTGATCTGACACTACAGATCATCCTTACAGTTCAAGTAACATTAGCTACCATTTTTTTCCCCCCTTTCAAACACTCGCATTCAAAGGTTTTGCTGCCATGGACTAAACTTCAACAAATCTATCCAATGGACACTCCTTGGTAAAAAAAAAAAAAAAACCCAACTAACTAGACGAACTAGCAAACAAGGTTAGACCACCCAACTCTGTGTTTTTATTTGACTACACCTCCCAAAATAATCTTTTTAGCAGCTTCCAGTCACTTACATTACATGGCTAGCATTAGCTTTTCTTTGTGAAACTTTTGAGTTTATCAGCTACCCCAATAGTCTGCTAGTTATCTTGGCTAACTAGGGTCAGACTAGGGTAGACCACCAATATTTATGTTTTTTGTTGACTTATACCTCCCAGACTAATAAGTGTTTTAGTGTCTTCCATCCATTTACATGGAACGGTTAGCATTAGCTTTGTTATTCTACACTTTTGCTCTAATTATCAGTGATATCAGTGATTAATACAGATTTGGATGTTATACTCCAGTCTTCTAATTAGCTGAAAAAAGTGCGGCATGCATGGGAATGAATTATAACTTTCACAGGGGCTCTGACAATAGTCAGTACTGTCTGTGCTGCTGTTTGTGACATGAACCATTATGTGGCACATGCATTTAAATCTAATCAACACGGGATTGACTGTATCTAAAACTAAGTTCATAAGAACATTAGTGCATCTCCAGTCCAGGCCACAAACAGAGTTTTGACCTCTTCAGACTTCCCTTTTCAATGAACCTTGTAAGTAGGTTAAGTTGTTCCAAGCCCCCTCATTTTGAAAAGACATTTATATAAGATGAAAAAGAGAAAGAAATAGGGAAAGAAAGAGAAAGTCAGAGAGAAAGCAGTGCATTTGAACAAGTCTTGTGTAACATGCCTTTTTTTGCCTCGAAAACAGAACTGCAGTGGTTTACAGGCAATTATGAGACATAATAGTACAAACATTGCCTACTGTCAGACAGAATTGCTAAGACTTTACACTCCATTTCCATTTTCAGTCTAACATTGTGTCCACTCTGATTCCTGCGAGGGAAGGGGATTTGATTTTCCCTAACTAGTCACTGGAGACCAACATATCTGCCTGAATCTAACCTATTTTAAGTCCACGCTGATGTGTAGTCATGCAAACATATTTAACAAATTATGATGTTGGGTGATATTGAGAATACATGTCAATTTACAACAGCCTCAATGGCAGCATCTATTTTTTCTGTAGTGGTTACCATTGTTGTTATCACTACTCATTGGTTCCAGTGCAGTCCTTGACAACGTTTGACAACAGCAGCTTGAAAGCAGCATGACAATGGTGTTAGTCCCACCTGTTGTGCTGATTAGCTAATCGATAGTCCCCGCATGGCGCTCATTGGTCAATTTTATTTAAACCTATAAAACACTGTTTTATGTCTTGATGCCAGACAGATCAGTCAGCTCAGAAGAGTAGCCAGATTCCAAGGTCAGGACCCCTGCCGTAACACTAACTCTTGCTGCCTTCAAATGGGGTCATGTTTACTATGTTCTAAGAAAAGAGTCTATATAAATGCCCCACTCTTGTGGTATTCACAACTCCAGAAGTGTAAATTTTTGAAATGTTCGGAGTTCACGAGTTGTGAACTGCTGCTGTTTCAAAAATGGTGGAGGGCATCGAAGTTCATTTGTCAAGTGGATAGTAAGTTAATATTGTAAAATTAGCTGTGTAGAGTTTTTCTCGATAACGAGGAATGAGGAAAAAGTTAATATTCCCAACAGTCTCATCTTTTTCCTCTGTCATTACATGTCATGATCCTGGGTCCTTGTTTGTACACTGTTTCCTCTGTTATTTTGTAGTCACTCTCCTCATCTGTCATGTCTTGTTTTACTTCCTGTCTGTGTGTGTTATGCTGCCTATGTTATTGTCTACACAACCCTGCTTAGTTTCACCTATTCCTCTGATTAGTTTCACCTATCCCTCATTACCCCTTTCTGCCTTGTGTCTTTAGTCTGTGTGTTCCCTCTTATCTGTGGCAGTTCGTCTTCATACCCCACTGTAGCGTTCAAGCCTTTTTTCTCAGTATCAATGTTAGTTTCCTAGTGTTTTATCGTGTTCTCCTGTCACCAGTTACCAGACTGATGTTTTCCTGCCTACCCTTGGACTCTCATCTTGTAAGCAATCCCTTCAATAAATCATTGAACTGTTCCGGTTGCCTCCACATGCATCTGCGTTTGGATTCTACCCTGCAATTTCCTGAGACTCTAACTTTATGCCTTTGCAGGCCTAGTTCCTACATTATTTAACCTGCTTGCTAGCTTGTTAAATTGTTACTCGGTTGGCCTCTAGACTCATCCATGTTGCCATTGCCTTGCAGCAGTGTTCTCATGATTTAACTACTTGAACACTAAGCATATTGTGTGCAAGACTTCCCATGTCACAACCATGAGCTCAAGAGTTCCATTTGGCAACATCAAGCAGCATCCGACTCAAGCCACTCCCTCCTGCCCTGCAATAACTCCTTTCCTTCCAGTCGCAGGCCCAATCCCAATCTCCACCCTAAGGCCTAAACCCTGAACCCTCATGGACTGGAGTATGAGAGGCTGCAAGGGCTCGAAATGGTATAAAGAATGGGACAGCACATATGTTACCTTGACAACACCAAAACATGTTACTTAAGGGGTCGGTCCCTGATTTGAACATCTGCAGGACTCTTGCCATAATTTTAGTCATTGTTGTCGAAACAGCATCATTAAGTACAATTAAAAGAAATGGTAGATAAATAAACTAGATTTATCATTATTTGTAGATGAATAAACTAGGTTTGTAATATCCGTGCCCTTCTGCACGACATTTAGTCATGACGTATGGAGAACAAAACCCAGTGTCTACAAAATCCTATAATGTCGACAACACATGACATTCTAATGTCCTTAGACATTTAAGATATCGTCAACCAGATTTTCATTCCAACCAAATTTGCCATCTGTCCAGTGTAAGAGTCAATTATCTTTCTGATGTCATACTGACATCCAGTGCCAGCTGGGAAGGCTGCAGTTGATACTACAACAGTGGATTCAACAATTTAGGGGTCTGTAGCTGAGAGGAGGAACAAGGACACCCCAAGTGGAATGAAATAAATGAAACTGTAAGTTTTATTTATGTCTGACAGACTCTCAAACACATCTCACAGCAATATCAGAGACACAGTGTGGTCAAGGCTAGATTATCAACTAGGGCAAAGCAGGCAGCTGCCCCGGGGGGCCCCAGACCAACAGGAACCCTGAACTTCCAGGTTCGCTGTGTGTTATTTGGTTTGTTGCAGTTTGAATAAATGCAAATGTGTTTGGGAATGTGCACCACTCAAGGACATTAGCAACAGAACTAATAAGGGCCCTAAGACCAGGCCTTAGTTAATTCCTAACTTTTGTGTCAAAATGTAATTTTAAGACGTTAAATAAAAGGTGCATATTCCCAAGTAAATGTGTTGTGTTCAATTACAAAA